TTCCAAGATGTCAAATATCCTTATGGACTAGTTTATAATATTTCTAAACAGTTTTTGGAAAATTTCTGACTTCTTTTCAATCGAATGCTCTCGATAAACTAAGAGTTATTTAGAAGATCATTCAGGTTCATTGATGGTCAAGGACAAAAAGCTTCTATTGAAATAGAATTTAGAGGGTAGACAATGAATAGAATTTTAGAATCCACAGCAAATTTAATTCCAAAGATTGAAACCACATCAATAGCTATATTTACAAAGCTATTGATGTGGATGCGGATTAAAATAAATATTAATATAATTTTACATCACAATTTATTTCAGTAAACCACTTTAAAACAATGGATCCCTGAACACTTGAATTTTCCTACATTTGAAGTCAACTAACTCTAGTTGTTAATTGAAAAACATCAAAAAGTAAACTATTGATTTTACTACTTGTGCTTCTTTATTAAATAGACTTGAAGAAAACAATAAGGTCTGGTGATCAATCACGTAAAAAAGTTCCCAAGACTTGGTTCCCTTAATCAATTTGACTTACAGAATAAGTAAATTTCAAATCTCTTAGTCATTTGGAAAGTTGGAACATAACAGTAAAATTCTTTTACGATTTAAATCTTCATAATGTCATCTATTTTGTCAAACTATCTTGAAGAAGCTCTTTATTTAAAAACCATAGTATAGGTAATATCTAATAGATTTTCATGACTCTTTCGAGTACTATAAAATGAGATTGCAAAGCTTTTAACTGAAATTTTTCATTCTATTTTATCCCATTGTATAAAGTCTATTGATTTATATTTTTATTTTTGTACTGTTTAAAAATAAACCAATTAACGAAGTTCTCAGTGATCTTGAATATATTTTTAGCTCGAGTTATCTACTGAATTACTACTATTTAAAGCTACATTCTATCATATTTGATAAATTTATCAACATTTAAAGGTCAAGTGAATACTATTAAAAATAATTTAAGAATAAAAAAATAATTGTTGGTATTAAAAATAGATTTGTATGGTTATTTAAATATTAAAACTTCTCAAAATATCGTAGATCAGACATCAACATTGACATATAGACAATCGATTGAATTCTATTTAACATCACTGAACTCAAGATAGCTAATTGAATAAAACCACACTCATATTTATGACAGGCATGAATGAAACTCTCCTGATATGGACCTAGTGGTTACCAATAAATTATTCATTTGTTAAATACTACAGAATAAAAGAATAGAGCTAATTTATAATTCAATTAATTAGTGATTGAGGTAAATGTACAGGTGGGCATTAGATTAATGATATTGTGGATTATTAATATAATTTTATGTGATCAAAATGTTTGGATAGGTTTGAGGTAAATGTCAGTAATAATGTCTTTTATGTCATTTATATTTCAAATACCCACATGAACATAACACGTTTAAATCCTTTTTATGTTAGACAACAATAAAATAACTTCATTACACAAGATTTTTTAAAACACTACTTGTGATAATTTGTTGAATAAACAATTCATTCTTCAATGTGTTTTAATTATAATTATCAAAAAAGCTGTTAAAATGTATTTTGCAATGTAAACAAGCCTAAAAAGAATTTTTTAATTAAAGCACTTGTTTAATAATAAAATAATTAAGTGAGCCACAAAAAAGTATTAATAAGCAAGTTGAATAGTAGAATAGAAACAACACAGATAAGATGAACAGTTCTAGAAAGAAAAAAAAAACGTGAAAAGACTTGAAGTGAGCTGAGTGGAAACAACGACAGTAGTGCACTAGCATCTAGAAGAGGGTGAAAGTAGCGGACAAGAGTTTGCAAGAAGACATAAGACATAAGAGGAAACAGCAATAGTACTGTAGCATTATAAAGCAACACTCGCATACAGAAGTTTGCTTCACGAAGTTGTACAATTTAGAAGTAATGAGGGCGACTGGCAACGTCTTCAATTAATAATATAGTAAAATGGTCGTATGACTTACCACCTCGTATGCATTTACCACGACATCTGCTTTGAAATAAGTTTGAAACGAGTTGCAAAGAAAAGCAAGAGTTGCATATGTTAACATTAAGAGTATAGAAATGTTAAAGTATATTTCACGCTTTAGTGAATGTCAGATGAAAAACGAGGAAACTGACAGGTGATAATAAAAAAAAAAACAAGGTAGAATTTTTTATACCAACGAACCAACACTTTTGGAAACCTAAATGTTCCCTTGGGAGATAACTGAAGAATAGAACGAAAAAAGGGGGAAGATCTTGGATGAATTTACGACAATGTCGAGACTATGCTTCTTCTAAATTATATCAAAGATGTCGAGAATCATCAAAGATAATAAAACTGATAAATAAAGTGTGTTTTCAGAGGCTCCAAGTGTTAGTCTTTATCGGCATCAAGTATGATGATGATGTACTTCTTGAGCATTTTCGTGAGATACTAAAATTGTATTTTATGACCAAGAAGAAAACAACTTTAGGGTAACATTTGTTATTTATTTTTCTGCAGTAATAAAATAAAAATACATTTACTCGGTATGTAAAAGAAAAAATGAGGTTGGAAATAGGAATAATAGAAAGAAGACAACTGGTAGAATATTAAATTATTTTGTTATTAAACTAGATATATAGATGTATGAAGAAAAATATTTTTTAAATATTCTTTTGGAAATTATTGTGAAGAGAAGTCAAGAATGCCTAAAAATAGAGAAGAATTTTATACTTGAATCTATCATTCTAAAATGTCGTTTCAAGTAAAGTGTTTTCTTATATATTTCTCTATTCTTCTGTTTCCCTATTCTTGAATCTTGTTTTATAAATATGTCAATAAAATTACGAAAAAATAACTTTTGTCACTTACATATGTTTTCTCTGAATCACTAAGCTTTTGTCAGGTTTACAGAAGAAAGCTTTTATGTCAAAGCGACAAGTATAAGGTAACTTTTAAAAAGTTTTCAGAATAATAGGCTTTCAACAGATCTACCACAATATTGGAAATTATTTAACAAAAAAATATCACTTTTATCAAGTTATCAATCAATAATCAATTTGATGAGAATTTTAACAATATTAACTACATGGCTGACTAAAGATTATTTATACTACTTACGAGAAAGATTAAAAATAAATTTACATGTATTATATTCCAATTTTTTTAATATGCATATAATTATTAAGAGCAAAAAAAAGCAATGACTCCTTATCAACTTCGTAATACGCTCAATTTTCTGGCAGAGCTTTCAATGAGTTTTCACGTTCAATATTGGGTAATGAGTTGGATTAACAAGCCTGTCTTAAAGCTGTAAGTTTGAGATGCAACTTTCCTTCGTGTTTTTAACGCTACGATGAGTACATTGATTTTCAATAATTCACAAGCTCCTCGAAAACTTTTTTTTTTTATCAGAACAATTTTATATTCACTTTTTATCTGATCTATTTATTCATACCCATTTTATCTAGATTATGTTGTTTGGATCAGAGTCAAATGAATAATTTATTATGCATACTAATGAAAGCAAGTGATTATTTTTAGGACACATAATTAAATCAAGTGAAAATTTCAGAAACTGACCTTTACCTATTTGCCTCATTATAACTTGGTAAATTAATTACATTTGTGGATTTGAAAAATGCCATTTTGGTATATCATGAAGATAGTTTTGATAAATAATGATATTAATATGAGTTCTGAAATGCTTTATAAAATAACTTGTGATGATGTCGTTACTTGCAGATGTTGGTGATAATTTCAGATGAGATGCTTTATAAAATTTAATCGTTTTTTAAGTTATCTAACATTAAAAATAATCGATCATAAAAAAATATTTGATCATATTGATAAAATTGAAGAGATAGTGATACAATAAGGCTAGAAGTGGCTTTGAAGATAGAAATTTATTAAGTTCTATTTTGATTTCAAAACTCGAAATAATCTTCAGCTATTATACAGAATTTATAAGCTATTGTAAATAAAGTAGCTAATATTGTTTTGTAAAAAAATGATTATTTAAAAATAAGAATGTATCAAAATTTTTTTTAAGTAATTTTAGCTAATTTTCTGTTCTGAAGGTCAGTTTTTCTTTGCGATAATCTAGAAAGAAGTACAATTTTTTCTTTCAGTGAAATGTAAAATGTACATACAATATATTCTGATAAAGTAAATGAATAAAAACATTCTATGTAACAACATAATACATATGTACAAATACATATATATATATATATATATGTATATAATGTAAAAGTACATCTGCAATGAGGAAGTAGAGATCTCCATCGAGATTTAGTAGGTTTTCGTTGGAGAAATGACACCCCGAATAGAAAAAAGAAATAGGTAAAAGCGAGACTTGTGATCTCTCAAGGCTTTTTCCAACACATGAAAGTATCTCCTTTTTGCCTTTAACCTTTCTGACAGCTGGGTCATTCAATATCACGTTTCACTCCACATTGGCATTATAATACTTATTAATCAAATTTTTTCTCATCAAACATCCTAATACCCAGGAATTTTTTAGCACAAAAAAATTTTTAATTGGTTATTGAATAATTCGAGGTACTCAATGATTTATCCTTTTTTCACTTTGACGTGTAATTAATTTTCTAATTATTCTTCAAAAGTATTCAAGAGCAAATAGGTGTTTAATTAACGTTTTACAAGCAAAGAGATTAATTGAAAAATCTTGCTAATCGAAAGCTCTTTGATTACCAACTTTTTAAAATAAAACTTTCTTACATAATATTCAATATTGAATCAGTATCATTGATATACAATTTACAATACCTATTTATATTTGTAATTTAATCAATACCATAATTAAAATGTCAATATTTATTCATTAATAAAGCTTTTGATTGACAATCCAACTTTGTAATTATCTATCATGCAAAGGACTTTTGTTTGAGAGGAGAGCTTTAAGTATCTAATCTGCTTAAATAGGAATGATTTAATATCATAGAATAAGTAAATCTGGGTTTAAAATCAACATTCCATAAAATGATATGAATTACCTGGAAATGATTGTTGGTCTGGAGCATTGACGACGTCATCTGGAAAATAGAAATAATTTAATTAAATATCATTCAACAACTGTCATAATAATCGTGATAGTTATAACAATGTTGATGTCATCAATTAAACCAACGTGTCAAGAAATAACAATAACAATTAATTGAGATGTTAACAAACAATCTCCTAACAATTTGTGAAAGATGTCATTTAACCGCTGTCTACAGGAACTCAGTGGACACAATTGGATTAGCGGTTAATTAGCAGTAGTTGGATATTAATAGGCACCCTAGGATTGACTCAAACGTTTGAATATTCATACTTCAATGAATCAAAATAATAGATTCAGTTTATAATATTCAATTCTGTGATTTAGTACTATTTATTTAAATATTTTTGACATTGAATTTTATATTTTCAATTTAATTATTCAATTGCTAAATAAATTTAGTCCAAAAATAAACAGAAATTATTTTAATAGTTATTAAATAAAAATCATTGATTAAATTGCTACAGTTTATATAAAAAATTCTGATGTTCATACATTATTAAATATAAAAGTCTATTTATATTTGCCATTTTACATTAAGTGTGATAGCTAATAAAATAGAAACTCATGAAAAATAATCCATCATGTTTTTATACAGATTGTTATCGTTATGTATCATAAAAGTGTATACCACTGATAGGATATTTCAGTACGAGCAATAGACTTATATAAAGACTTTTATTTATAATAAAAATGTATTGACAGTATTATAAAAAAAAATTTTTGAAATATAGGAAATAGCAAGTGTATATATATCTTTTTACCATGATATCATCATTAATTTTTACAGTGATTTTAAATATATATAAAAAAAAAATATTCGATTTGATACGTGATATGTATTTTTCCGAGATAGAGTTTTTATATGCAGTCAAAGAAGGGAAGTATCAAAAGCATGAAAAACACGTACCAAATTCGAGCTTTCAATCTTTTTTAGCAGTAGTTGTACATGATCTTATAAAGTCATATATCGAACTTGTAAGAATTCTGTTCTGGTTATGAATCAAATCGATTGTTTTTGCTATTAAATATATTTTAACTAATAATACTATGTATAAAGTTACAGAAAGTTGAATAATTAAAATTGATTGTTTTTGCACAAATAACAGTGCTTATAAACTTTTTAATTGCATTTTGATAAATAATTAAATCCATTATCATTTTCATACATTAGAATGAGAAACGAACTCATTTAGCAAAGGATAATTTTAATAAGAGGATGAATCAAACATAATGATTCTCTTAAATTAAATAAAAATCATTTATTACCATTTAATAAAATAGAATGGTATTTTCAAAATTTAAGATAATAATACCAAGAAAAAATCGGTAATTAGTTTCAAGTTTTTTTTTCTTTTAAATTTTTGGCGGTTATTTTTGGTGTCTGAAGAGTTTAATAATTCCTCGATATTAAAGTACGAATAATATAAAAAAGAAACGTATTTCCTACTGTTAAAAAAAAGTTTTAATAATAAAAATATTTTTAGATATCCATGTAAATTTCAATTAAAATAATCAACAAGTAAAGAAAAGTTATAAAACCTTAGCAAATATTTTTAAATGATAATTTGATCACAAAGTTAATTTATATATTTCTTAAGTAATGTTGCGTGACACATAATAAAAGTAGAAAACTCCAAGACTCCGTAAACAAATAAGGAACAAAATAACTTCTGAGCCTTCGTGAACTACTTGGCCGATTAAACTCTTCCGGTTGAATCGAATTTAACTTTGCTCAAATGTGATAAACTACTTTTGTTACATTTGTTGCAACACAGGATAACCTCGTTAAATAATGAACACGAACACGCCTTTAGAATGTTTATACGCAATACTCACGCGAAATCTTGCTAGCTATTTCTACAATAAGATCTAACTATAGAAAACTCCAGGTATTCAGTGAAAAAAATCGATTAATTAATAACGTGAAAGCTTACAGATGTTTATTTTCACAACAAATCACGCGATTGTATTTAAAAATAATTGAATTAAGACTATAACATTCAACAAATCCATTAATACTTTTTTTCTGGCTAATTGTTAACAAGATTACCCTTTTTGAAAACATTTTTTGCAACTAATTGACTTCTTTTTATCATTTAGGGTTTTTCTATATATCAACAAAAATACTAATGTTTGGCACAAATGACCAATAAAAGATTATGATGATTATATCTTTTTCTTCTCATTATCAGCATCACTGCTTCCTTTATGATCACACTTTGGTCTGATTTTTCTTATTTTCTCATTAAAACTAAATACCCTAAGGATCCACACACTTTTATCTCCTGTATGTGTGCTTGTTAGACAACTGGACATTTTCCCTTTATATTTTCTTTTCATTAGCAGTTAAACACACTGTCTTATCATTATTATTATTTTTTTTCATTATTATAATTCTACTCGTAATGTATTTTTGACAATTGAATGTTTAAGATGAAATTCAACAAAAACTTTTTTTTACTTAAATTTTTATACTACTTAAATATATTCAAAAATTCTCTTATAATTATATTATCTATTTTTATATTCTTTAGAATTATTATAAAATATTGTTGTTAAAAACATTTTCCAATTAGTATTTTTAGTTCATAACTTTGAAAAGACATAATTAGGAAGAGTATTAAAGTACTTAATGTTCTTACATCAATACTTTTTACATTAACTCTTTCACTTCTTTGACCGAATAACTTTTTTCACTTTGTGATCCTCTTACATCTACTGTTTGTATAATAGTTTAAATATTTTCTAGTTTTTTTTTTGTGTTTTGCAAAGCTTCAAGCATTCGTCCATAAACTACTCAAGAGTGGAATATAAATAATTAAAACATATGTTAAAATGCATTTTAATATTGATTTCATCAAGTAAATTTTTAAAAGTGGCTAAAAGCTCTATCAAAAAATGCTAGTTGGAATTATAAATGTAGTAAATGGAATATTTTTAAACAAGAATGTTTCTCTATTTTGTAAAGAATGAAAAAACCTTTTCTTCTACATCCTAGCTAAATAAACTACTAATGTATATAAACCTATAGATACAAATTTTGTTGAATATATTTTTAATTTCCTGTTATTTTCAATAAAATGCAAAATATAAGTGATACAACAAATCTTCTGTTTCCCAAAAAAAGATTGAAAATCGAATTTTGCATTCAGACAAAAATTTTGCAAAATATTTTTATCTAAAAATGTCTATATATATGCTAACGTTTATATAAATTTTTCGTTGACGATATCTCGAGAACAACTAACTGGATTTCGAATCTCTCTTTCAATCCATGCCGAAATAACTGAGAACTGATGAAATTCTGAGCCAAATCCTTTAAGCCATTTCCAACTAAATTAAAAAAAAAGTTATCTCCGATGTAATGAAATAATTATATTTCTCAATCACTTAGTTACATACAAATAAAATGATCTATTTAATTGAGAATATAAAAATTGATTAGTTTGAAAAATTACTTTTGGTATAGATATCGATTACCTAGATTCTTATAGACATTTTTCCGTACGTCGTTGCAGAATTTAGTATTGAAAGGTGTCATTTAACCAACAGAGGATCGTTAAAGTGTCTTGCATAACCCAACGTCACGAGACATAATAACATAGGGTCAAGTAGGGTAAATATAATAGATGGAGTGAAGATGATAGCTATCATTAACTCATTGTGCTCTTTTTGTTTTTTATAATTTTTTCTAGATCTCATGTTCAATAAATAATACTTGGCTTTAAAAATAAATGAAAAATAGAATACAAAAAAAAACAGAATAATAATAATAAAAGATTTAATATAATCTATAATCTTGATTGTCACATTTATTTCGTTTACTGCAGTTATAAAATTAAAATAAATCTGAATTTTAAATGCGAATACTACAAAATTATCTAGCAATTAATCGAAATTCATACGCCATAACCGTATTTGTAAGTACTTATGTAAAGATAGCACGATAGCTCTTTCGGTACTTGACTTGGATATTAAAATAATTTTACTCTCCTCTTAGATCTTCACTTGCTTCAATGTTTTCTCTAAAATTCAATTAATTCATCTGCATAATAAATTATTATTTTTTAATCTCATGAAGTCTCTTCATAAACAAGATTCCCATAAAAATGAATACTTACTACTTTAAATTACAAAAAAAATTATTAAGTAGACTTTAAAATGACTTATAGCTGTGAAAAATTGAAAATAAAAAAAATTCCAAGTTTTTCCAGAGTGATTTGAATTTAAAAAAAAATATATATCAACTTAAAAGTTGCATAGTTATCATCAGATCACAACATATTTACTGAAATATTATTCAGACTTTGTAAAACATTTTGCTGAAGTGTATTCACAAGAACACCATAATGTAAGCAAACTACTTCCTTTGATACGTATTTCATAATTAAATATGAAACCAACTAGACCATACCGTATGCTATTTTCGCTGCAAGATTGAGCCTGCATTCATGACGAGTTGGAAACACGTAAGGATGAGGCTCATCAGGACACCAAGGTACAGAAGGTCCACAAACACATCTTCCAGCATTCCCAGAACTACTGCTCTCATTAGATATTCCGTCTTCGATAAGATTACAACCAGATCCTGACATTTTCGGACCATGAGGACAATGTCGTCGCCATCTTCCAGGAATTTCTATAAAAACAAGATTTTTTTTACTAAAAAGAATAAATCAAGTAATCTATCAAAACATCATCAGTGCCTTGAAAAATATACAAATATTTCATGTGCTTTAAATTTATATGTTTGATAAATATTGCAGTGATTGGGTCTTTGATATAAATTGAGGATCAATAAGTTAATGTGCTCCAGTCGACACATATAAATGATTGGACTACAGCAGCTGGTTTATACGGTGTTTTCATGTTTAAAATATATGAGATAAATTTAACTTTGATGCTCATTTAAAAACCTACCATAAGAATCATTTATTATATTTTAAGAAAAGAAAGAATGAACAAATCATGGCTCTTATTTGTAAGTACATAATAGAAAGAGAAACAAAAGGATGTCCTACTCAATTAAACATTAGTGGCAAGATGTGACTAAAACCATTTTCTGGTCATTCTCTTTAATGCTTTAATTCTAATTTGCCTCGTTTATTCTTGCATATATGTGTATGGGTGATAAGGACTTAAAATTTGTAAGTTTAATATCATAGAAACATACGTATTTCATAAATTATATTTATTTATTTATTAAGGTTTTAATTGGGATACTTTATTTTATAGATGTTGTGTGAAATTATCAACTTTTGTATTTTTACTTATACTTTTATCTCGAAGAAAAGTCATTTAACTAAACTTTTTCCCTCACATTAGTTTTAAGTGTTCAAAAAGTCGATCGAATTACGTAAAGTAGCATCCAAACTTCACATTTTATTAATTACGCTTCTAACATCTTTACTTCTTCAACGACGTAATGAGTTATTATTGTTATTATTATTGGTTCAATATTTACTTTAAAAAGACGTTAAATATTTTTTTTTTAATAAAAAGAGTTTAGTTTTGAATAAAAGGCTTTATTAATCACTTTTTAATTATAAGTTTTATTTTTTATTGAAAATTTAAGAGATGAACTCGTGTCGATAAAAAGTTTCAATTAAGAACTTTTTCAAGTAAAATGATATTTTCATCTGAAGAATTAGTATCTTTTTGTATAGAGAAATTAACTTGATGACAAAAAGTTGTTAATATAATTTTAAAACGTTAATTAAATTTATCGATAGTAGCAATTTTATTTTATACTGGTTTGTGATGCTTTGACTTAAACTTTTTATCAAACTATCGCAATTTTCAACAGCATTCCATCATATTCTCGTTGTTCACAACTTGTGTGTGCTTAAAGTTTTACTTTCCCACGCTCCGTTTGAAGATAATGCAATTTTTGGGGAGAGTTAGTAATAAATTGTGAAATAAAAACTTTGACATCCATAAGCCAAAATACTCATATGATGCCAAAAATTGTGAATATTATGTTATTCAAAATTCAAACAGCGTAACTGGTATGCAAATAGGTTGTCTACCTTTCAGGTAAAATTGCATGTAAAAATGCAGATTCCCAATTACCCAGCGGCACAATTGAGTTATAAAAAATAATTTTCTATCTAGTGACATTTTAAAAATTTTACCAAGTAAAAATGAACCAACTTAATAAGCTAACATAAATGACTCATTAATTTATTTTATTTGAATATATTCATTAACGAAATTCATTACTCTAATTTTGCCAAATATATTCACATTCCAAATTACTTTAGGATTTTTATATAAATCCAAAGTAAAGAATAATAAAAATATTTTAATAGCCCAAGTTTAATATTACAAAAAAATATCTTATTTCATTCAAAATATTTTTTTAATGATTGAAATATCAAATAACCAATTCAAGTAAACAACTTTTATTAACAATTTAAACAACCTTCAGCATAATAATAACAGTTGAGCATTAGATAGTGTTTATGGTTCAAATTTCACCACTAATTTTGATATGAATGAATTGATGATCTTGGAATAGCTAAATTATGATCAAATACAGCTAAAATTATCTCCATTAAACCAGCTTTCGAACAAAAAAAATACATTAAAATCAATTCATCAATTTAGAAGTTACAATGCCACAGACAGACACAGATAGATATAAGCATCAAGCTTTCAACACTCTCCTGTTCTCGTATTTAAAAAATTTAAACCAATACTTAACGCCTCCACAGTTTATCTTATTCCACATACTCACTCAAATGATGTAAAAAATTTTGAAAGAAATATACGAGGTAGAAAAAAATGAAGAAAATCCTGAAAACTATAGAAGAATGGTAGAATAGAATACTGAATGCTTGAAGAACTTAAAATCCTTAGAGTTAAGAATATTCTCTGAATATAAGTCGTAAGCATCTGTCGCATGTTGAATCTTATCGAAGTCTCGTTTTACAGCAAATGCAACTGCTTTTGGCATCACTACTTGCTTCATACTTTTCGTGATCTATATCGAACACGAGGAATATGGGCGGGTGGAATAAAAATTCACGCCATAGTATCCGACACAAGGCGGCTCTGGAACCGTTTGTAAGATTTGTTACTAGAGACCGTAAAACCGAGCTTACCATCTTTTTCTTCGTCTTCTTTTGCCATTTCAAGGATTCCACAGCTGTAAAAGCATTTTCTTAAATTGTCCCAATTTCCATTCCTATTCTCGTACTTTATTCTCACCTTCATGTCCCTTTTTTGTTCAAACAGAATATTCTAAGAGTATTCATTTAAGTGCATTTATTCAAATAAAAACAAAAAAAAAAAAGAAGTTTAGCTTAGTTATTCTAAAGTAATATTTACCTATGAAATACATGATTTATTTTTCCATTCTATATATCAGAGACATTTTTAATTAATATTTTTCTTCAATAACGTACTCCTTTGATATTGTTATACTCAAGTGTTATCTCACGAGAAATATTTGATAAAGTAGGCCACGATAGAGCTTTCTATACTTTCTGGAAAAAGACTTTGCAGTGTACACTTCTAACTAAAACTCACCCATCGTTCATTTTTCCTTGAAACTTGGCAAACTCTTCACATTTCTTTCAATTCATCCTTGAACATGCATTGTTACTCTGAAACTAATGTTTTTCACAGTATAACTGATGCTTATGAATAAGTTAACTCCACCCCTACTTATTTTATGAATATTATTGAATTCTTATACAGCTACTTCAACGACATCATGATCAACAAAATTAAATATAACATCAGAAAAAAGATGAAATTGAATAACAGATTCAAGTTGACTTTGATAAAAATCCGTTGAATCCCCATTTTAACTTCATTATAATCCCAATACTGATAATAACAAATTTTACATTCGATTGAACCAGAAAAGTTAATTTGTAGTACAAATTTCTTTTTCTATTGATCATTAATGTTTGGTTATATTGAAAATAACATTTTAAAGAAGAACTGTTTAAATGGAATTGCGATAAAGTTTAAAATAAATTTCATCTGACTTAATGAAGTAATTATAATGATATTTGATAATGATTATTTTTCTGTCAAGTCGAGAGAAAGATATGGAAGAAAAATATCTCAAATAAGTCCTCGAAAGCTTTCTCAATAATGAGAAACTGGTTTATTATCATTGAGAACTCTGGTCTCCACAATTTATCTGAATCAAATCGTTATCTTTACTCTTCTCTTGCCTTCCTGAAACCATCAATTTTATCTTTTCCTCAAGGTAATGTTTGTCGTGAAGGTTGTCCTGCCATTTTGAACTTTTCTCAGTTTCAAATGAGACGATTTTCACCTAAACACTGTTCAGTTCTACTTATTCAAATGACCTAACTTATTATCTTGATTCAGGTATACTTGGAGATGAAGGAAAAAAATATTCTAATAAGCTCATGAAAGAATTTTTAATAGAGAATTTTCTTCATCATGGTAACAGAAAAACTAGAGCAGAATAAAAAGTACAACTCTTATATATGCATATAAATACATATTAGTGATGGTAGTGTTACTTTTAAAGACTTCACGTTATGCACTTTCAAAACAATGTATGGAAATACACTTTTGAAGCTAAAAAGCAACGTACACCATAAAGCAGTACTTTTTCATGGTAAGTTTTGCAAATGGAGTACATATTGCTTGGATGTAAATAACCTAAGGCTAAACCAATTTGTGCATCACTGTATATGAGCCATAATATTCTATGAATACAGAGTAGCTGCCTCATTCATGTGAAATTTTAACTTATGTCACACATCAATTTAAATGTGAAATAATTACAGTTATAATAATTCACCAATTAATTTATGACACTTAGTAAAAATTAATTAAATTTCATCACAATCAAACTAATTATATAAATGAATGATTGTATTTAGTATCAAGCATCTATAATTGATGCCAATATTTTATATATACTTATATCGTTGTTATTATTATAAATTAATAGTTAGATAATATGATAAAATATGAAATTGCTTACTTGAGCATATTCCTTCATCTAATTCCTCTGGAGGACGAAGATTCTTTATTACACATTGTAGCCCAACTGCACAGCGACCGGAAAATCCAAAAAGACCTCCACAAGGTTCACCTTCCACACGAGCACACACTTTACAGCATCTACAGAAAGTTAAGAGCGATATATAATTATGAATAAATAATGATAATGATAAAAACAGCCTTAATATATGATAAACCGATTAGCAATTTTTCATATAAGCCGGCTGTCTTTTGAAGCATTTTATCACTATTTTGAACATAAATGATTGTGATAAAAACACCTTTCATATGGTGTTATGAAGAATATTAAATTTTACACGCCTTTTAACTTGAAGATTTTAATGATAAAGCATTTTTCTTGAGTGGTATAGCAACGCCACGTGTTTTATATACCTATCAAGTGTTCTAATTTTTTAAAAGCATGAAAGTTGATAAATCTACAGGTTACATAAATTGAAAATAATTATAAAGTCTTTTTATTAGGTAAAATATAGAGTCATGAATAAAAATGAAGACATACTTGCATGGATCCCAAGTTAGTCCCCCTGGACAATCCTCTTCAGTTAGAATGTCACATTCCAGTGGCGAACAAACGCATGAAAGTGCTCTCGCAACAGCAAGAGATAGCACAATAATACCACCAAACAAAATAAATGGAGCTTTCATCGTTCTGTGGTTGTTATTATTATTATTATTATTTTCACCGACGATCTTATCGACAACTTCGAGGATCGTGGTAAACTTTGACTTTTATTCGACTGATAAATCGCATGTGGGTAAAACAAATAAACAACCACAAATTCCAATATGTGTCTTTGAAATTACCGTACAAATTCACTAATTAAAATATCAGAATACTAAGCATAGTTTTGTTGATCAGCATCCATTTCAAAATAAATACTTCATTTACTTCTGATGCATTATTTTGTTAATCGTTGATTTAACTTAACCTATTGACGATCATGTTTAATAAATGTGGTTGGCGTTGTACATTTATTCACCAGTGCGAACTTGGCCGTCACCGTCAGCCGAGGTTGACAATCACATTTAGCTTCTCTATGACGTGAATAACGATGAGATTATCGCAACCTGTATCCGCACTGTGTTGGATATCTCGTTCAATAAACCACCACCTCGTGATATGCAGATTTTCTACGACGTTCCTCAACCGCAAGACAAGTTTACTTCATTAGAGTGTTATTGTTAGACTTTATTGGTATTCTTGTCTGGTCTTTTACAGTTGCATCCAATTCAGACTCATTTATTTTTTTACTGCTTCATAAACAATCGCATAAAATAGGATGGAGATGAGATAGGCATCAACACTTGATTATCAATAATAATGAAATTAGGTTTTCATTGTTGGAAGTGATTGAAACATTTTATCTTGATAATGTCCACGGTATTTTCCGAACAAAACAAGTGATTTTTCTTGTAACCAATTGACCATCTACCACGTCGACGTACCGCAAGCCGGATGAACGCGGACTGACGTTAAACAGCGTGTGAACCCAGGTAACATTCTGCGTCGGCGCTGTATTTGTCTTCTGATGAAAACCTTCAGTTTTTAGCAACAACTTTCTATCGTTAAGATAAGTATATCAGTTCTAATTTTTATTGTAGTAATTATAAAAAATAATTGTTGAAAAATATCCAACTAATATAATCATTCAAAAAATATTGATGATTATAGACGATGATTCTAAATATTTGCCATAAGAGAAGATTAAAAAATTCTTTAAAAAATACTATATTATTCTCCATGTTTGTATGATCTTCTATAATACCGATAAATCTTTGACTTTCACTTGTTCCAGATGATAAATTATCGAGCCTCGAATCGAGTTTTGTAAAAAGTGTTTGTCCTATCGGCAAATTAGTGAAAATGACAAAAGTTACTTGAACTGTTTATAATTATTACATACGTCTTTCTAATCAAGTTTACATTAGAACAATTAAAAATATTAATCCCATTCTGACTGGATATTAATTGTAAATGTTATTAATATCACATGTCAAATTATTCTATTGGTTAGATTTCATCCAGAATTTGACGGTTAATTTGGCAGATGAAAGTCAAGTTAGCTAGTTTATACCAAGTAAGAATAAACAATATCATTCAAACGTTTTATCAATTAATATTAACTGTGTTTATTTTAGGAAATTCCAATATTATGCATCATTAATGCCAAAACATGACGCATATACCATTTATTCACAGCAAGAAAAATTTCTTTAATGTGGTTGAAGTTACATTTATTAAAAGACTGTAAAATTATTAGTGATAATAAGCAGACAAGTAACATTAAAAATTTGTTTTCTTTCATGTTTTTTGATCGGTTATAGCAAAAACAGAAACATAAAATTATCTCTTGTGATTATTTCATTTAATGACTTTTTGCTTTTTACATAAATTAACTTTCGAAAACAACCTATTAATTGATGATCATCATCTCTAGGTACTGTATACACTTTGGTTTTTTCATAAATATCACTTATAATATCAATTTAAGATAATTAAAAAAATTCATCATTTTCTAGTAATACGTCATATGGAGCAATGAGTTTCATTTTCAAATAAAATTGAAAGAATGTATCACTATACCTCTGTTTTGATCTTGTACATATTGGTTTGATGAAAATTTTTCGACCAATTTTTCTAGTGCACATTATAATATTTTTTCGATAACCTAGCCATAAAATTACAAAAATTGGTTCTTGTTCGTAAATTTACATTTAGGAGAATGAGAAGCGCTATTCTGGTTCATAACAGGGTCGGCTATCTTTATGTGTATGTAACTGGTTAAGTGATATGAAGGCTTTGAGCGAATAGCAAGGAGGTGAAGGTAAAAGACATTTATACTGTGACTAAACTCAATTATTTCCTGAGCCTGGAATCAAGAGGGTGGAAATAGCTTGGGTTATTCTCCTCTCTTACATGCATAGATACAATAACAAGGAAATAAAAGATAAGAACCCAAAGTTTTTTTTTATAATGAGCAATATTTTTATGGAGAGAATATATAAAAAATTAATTCATTCATTAATTTTATAAGTAATAAAAGATTAATTTTACTTTGAAAAAACTAAAAAACAAATGCTTATTATATCAGTAAATAGAAATAAATGTCTTATTAGCAAATGTTATACAATTATAATATTAAATTTTTATGTAAACTAGATTTGTTATATCTGCTAAAACATTGATCATATTTATGAGCTAAAAATAGCTCTAAAAAATTGCGGTTTTGTTCAAAGAACTACAAATTCATCGTTTGATACATATCTAACTCAAAACTATGCACTATATCATGAATTTGAAGGTATACGAATGAATTTAAATAAACTATTAAACAAAAGAGGTGAATTATTCTGCAATAAAAGAGGAAAAATACTATATCTAAAATATGATATCAATAAAATATTATGTAAAATAAACTGTTAAAATTAAATAATACAGAACAAATGCTGTGAAATTTTTCATGAACATTAAGAGAGTAATCACCTTTGTGAGTAATTTATAGTATTGAAACTATCATTGTTATTAAAATTCAAAAATCTTATTCAATCCATACTGTAATTAGAACGAATATAAATATCTAAAAGCAATCGTATTTCGTTTTGTAGGTAAAATAATTATTTAATGAGATGACTTTACTTTCAAGCGAACAATAATCACCAATAATGATTTCATATTGTCAATAATATAATAATATGAATAATCAATTGCATTGGCCATTAATTACTATTCATTATTACATTACCATTTTTACTGAACAAATACGTACAGTATAAAAAAAAAACTACCACAATAAATTTAGCATTTTAAAATGACCTCTACTGCAAAAACATCATTACTGAAGCGTTATACGTGTTGAAAAAATTTTTCTTTAACTTCTATGTCCAAGCGACGAGGAAAATGCAATAAAAAAACTTGGTTTGCATTCGAATCAGCCATGTTGCAGTACCGAACGTAATGAAATAAAGTCTGAATAGACCATTTCGTTATTCCTCTGCAAATAATTATATTTTTATTCTTTATCTTATTCAGCTTACTAGTCCATTTGATTTTATGCAAAAACGTGGATATAATACTGAAGTTATATAAACAATTTATTTGTTAATTCAATTTCTCTCAAAACATTGATCATTAATCATTTAAATACAGTATTTCAATATTAAATTAAAGTTTTACAGAACCAGAAAAAATATGCTATAAATGGTTATTTATTAAATATTAATAAAATTAGTCAATTACAAAGAAATTTCTTTGTCTAAGTATCAAAAAAAATTCTCATAACTTGTTATTTCATTGGCATAAGGTAACGAAAATCTTAAGAGAAGTACATTAATCCTAAGACGGGCCACGTTCTTCTTCACTTTCAGAAAATGGACTTTGGTCTAGGGGTTGTGGTGGTACTGATTCTTCAAGGATAATGTCTTCAGCTGGTGTGATGCCTTGAAGAAACCTCGCTTTCTCTTCAATGTCTGGAATTTTCTCGTGAATCAGCTTTTCTACGTCCACTTTATCCAACTCATCTTGAAGCCGTCGCTTGATAGGCCCCTCGATAGCATCCATAATTTGATACCTGAAAAAAAGAGCAAACTCAGATAAGAGCGAAAAAAGTAGATACTTTTTTATATTACGCGGTAAAGATTACTTACCGCAATAAATTTGGCAATATGTTTATCCCAGCTTCCATAACATAATCCAATGTACCAGCACCGTGAATTCTTGTCTGAATATTACCAAGCTCTAGATTAAGTTCCTCTAGACGAGCACGTTTTCGAGTATCTGCAGGTTGACTGAGTGTTAATTGAACACGTAAATATTGCACCGTAAACAAAACGGTCCCTGATCTTGAGACGAATCCACCAATAACACCTACTTCCCAATGAGATCTTCCTTCAATTTCTTGAGTACCCACATCTATTATAGCATAAACCTAATAAAACAAATATTTATTTTAAAAATTATCACTGCCCTTGAGTGAAAAATTTTTCAATCTGCATTGTTTGATGTTCAAATAAATATTTTAATTAATTAAAATTTCCACAGTTTCTTTAATAATAATTAAAATTAAGAAGTAAAAAATAATTTATTATTTCAAACAAAAATGCGAACAATGGATAAAAACGTTGGAAAAACTTTATTAAACAAAAAGGTTCAGTCAGTAGATATTGTAAAATAAATATTGTAGGAAAAACTCACCGTTGAATTTACCATGCTAAGCGTGATGTTGCCCATGCGATAAAAACTAGCAAGTCCAGTGAGCCAAGTGTGACTGGACGTAACTGTGAAAATTCCCACACTCTGTGAGTAATCCTTAATTCTAAACGGATCATAGCCCATATCAGAAACTTGTTTGCGCGCTTCAGCAACTGCCATGTCGAAGGGTGAAATAGAGTTAGGAAAATACTGCGGTAACTGTGATATATGTTTGTTTACTTCGCCTCTGAAACATGAAGATAATCATTAATTCCATCAAACCCCTACATCTGAAACTTCAAATATACTACTATTTTGTTAAGAAAGTTTCTTAATCGACAAAATTGATGAATTGCTATCAAACTTCTTGTTTCTCAATTATTCAGCGACTTAATGTACTACATAGAATCAATGGAGTTGCAAGGTAAAAGTCACTCTTAATTGATTGTTTAACAGCTCAGCTATGAAACTGATAAACTCACACCAAAGTAAATTATGTACCACATTGTTGTAGATTATAAATTAAGCATCTATTATTACCTTATATTAGTATTAACTTCATTTAAGATAAAAGGTTTGATACTGTCAAAAATGAAAGCTCCAACAGAATTTATCACACTTTGGAATACTGCTCCTAGGAAACCGAGGTTTTTAAAATCCATATCAATGTTAACAAAGGTTAAATCCATATCAATATCTTGTGCATGTAGTTTCCCGTCTGTTCCTACTTGTAATCTTGCCACCCCTTGTACATTCACTCCACTTAATTTAACAGTGAAATCTCCAGCTGACCGTGATAACCAAGATGAAAGCGTATAAAGCCCTCGAATGTCAAGGGTTTCAATATTCAAAGCAACTGATACCTGTAATTAAATCAAAAAATATATGATAGTATATCAACAAAAATAAATAAATAATATAAAATATTTTAATTAACATTATTTTATACGTTTGAATTACTTTAAATTTCAATAATAAAATTTATGCAATTAATTTTCGTTTTTTGAGCTATAAATTAAGATAAAAACCTATCTATTTAATTATGAAAAATTCAATTAATTGTAAAACATATTTTTCAAATAAATATTCATGACAAAATTCTGCAATTATATATAAATAATCACCGTGTCGAAAATAAACAATTAAATAAATTTGTTTTATTATATTTATTCATCAAATAATTTGTTTATTTAATAATGCATTAACTGATATTTATTATGAGTTATAAATGACTATATCAAAATTTTGCTTTTCCTGTATAAACTAAAATTTATTTTCCAGTAAAATTTATTGATGAATACCTGCATCAAAGCCAATTCCGATTGTACATGCTGAATGCGAAATTTGGAGAGACCATAGACTTTAGTGGATTTGAAATTCATAGTATACATCGAGAACGAGTGTTTCATATCTGGAACCGACATTGGATCAGGTATAGGAGCTCCCGGAAGTCCAACAGGATCCGATTGCTGATAATGTTTTAGTATTAATCGAATTTGATCACCCAATCGCTTTTCACCTTGTGCAAGCTTCTCCTTTGTTTCATCTCCTACAATTAAATTGAGATAGCATCTTTTTTCAAATTCCCCAAAACCTTCAGTTCCATCATGTCATATCACTGGTTGTGGTGAATTAATATACATATGCATATCAAAATATTAGCTCTTTAAAAATTACTCTAACAAAACTAAATTTTTTTTAGTTTTATCAACTTTGTTTGATTTATGTTCACTTAGAAAAGAAGAAAATTAAATTCTTTTCAATTATCAGACAGATTAAATCAGCTTGAATCTTAACAAACGATTGAAGATATCAAGATATTTCAAATGACGCAACTACCGGCTTGAAAATTGATTAAATTCTTCTCTATTTTACATTTGAACATTAATTAATGAATATTTGATAATAAAAAAAAAATTAGACAGACTATTCTTACCATCAGCAGTGAAATTGCAGGTACAAAAGGCGATCCCACTGATAAAGACAAATAATTGAATTAACTCCATTTCACTAAATTTTCAAGAATGAAACGATGGCTATAGCAAACGGAACTAATTTATTCTATCGTTTCGTCTGGATGATCATGTCGTCTACTGATATTTAAGTAATGCGTACATCGTATTGGACAGAGATGCGTCAGTAAACTAAACGAGATACTATCATCAGGTCAATGCGAGAGCGAGGGTCATTCTCTTATCGTATTCCCTTTATTTGTCCCAGAGATTCTTCAGAGAAATGTATTGCCTATTTTTAACACGTGAATGAAAACATATTTAAATTTTATGAGCAATTAACATTTCATTTTTTTTTATTCATTTTTTTTTAATGATTTTAAATATGTACATATATTGTTATGATCACAAAACTCAGCCATTATGTAATCGAGTGCTGATATTGAATAGACGATTTTAATATTATCCCTATAATTACGTTTTTCAATGGGACTTAAATAATAGGATAAGATATGACAGATCATTAACATATCAAAAATTGATTTTAAGAAAATGGAAAATTGTCAACTATGGATTTTCCACGTGTGAATCATTCGACTTAGAAAATTACATCAAGTATGTTTTTATTACCTAATAAGTTACATATTTTTCATTAGATTTGTTTTCGTTTATCTTTATATTGATGTAATTAGCAATAAAAATCTATTTTTCACTGGAGCCAAGTGTGATAAATAAATATTTGTACGGAATTAAATAAGAAACTGATTATTTTTTAATAAATGTTCTAATTTTTTAATTATATTTAAACTAGCAATTGATTTTAATCTTGTAATCACTACAATAGGATAAGACTGACTGAAGAAGTTAATTCTCAGTGATTAAGATATCAAATTAAATTAGATACTCTGATAATCAGAAAAAGTATTTCAAAACAAATGCAGGCAAAATGAAAATATTTTGGGTTTTGATAAATAAATAATTTCCTTAATATTTATTATATCGTAATATTTTTATTAATCTTCATCAATATCAATGACGATTTGCATGTTGATAACAATAGTTAAAAGACCTTAAAACATGGGAATCAATACATTAAACAGTATACAACAATATGAACTTACGTTACAATTAATTGCTACACTTATGGTAATTCGTTCTATTTGGTTAACAAAGATGATTTTTTTAATAAATGTTACCCATGACATGCAATAGCAATTTTTCTTTTCTTCAATACTTGTATAATTATTAATTAATGATCTATCGTCGATATTTCTTATGAAGTTTCATTACGCATATATATTATTATTTCCTTTAAATTATTATTAATTTGTACAAAAGTAAGTGACATAATGCACAAAATTCGTAATTTTCTAAATTCTTTCAACAAACATCAGTATTAAATTAAATTTCGTTTTTTAGACCAATATTGGACATTTATTGACTAGTATTTGATAATTTTTCTTCACTATTGTCTTCGATACCACTTTGTTTATTTTCAATGACTTCTTCTTCTTCATCTTGATAATCATTATCTTCATCAACATCATCTTCTTCTTCCTCTTCTTCCTCCTCTTCGTTTTCATTATCTCGAATTATATTGCCATCAAAATCATGAACATTCTTGTCTGTTTTTGAGTTATTAATATTATCTTCATTATCTTCTATTTGTCTACTTTCAGGTATTTTTATGCTATCAACATTGTAATCTACATCTTTATCAGTTCTTACATCAGTCCGACTAATTTCTTCCAATTCATTTGTTTCTGATAAAATTTCTGGTTTTTCTTGACAGTGAACTTCTCCTTTTGCGTCTTCTGAGTCCTTTAAAAAAGAATGAATTTGTATGTAGACAGTAAACATAATAAAAATATTAATAGCACAAGACAAATACCAAGCCCGTCATTACTAAGAAAAAAAATACTTTGAAACAAAAAAAAAAAGATATTTGAAATAATGAAGCCTTTAATTAAATAGATAATGTATCTTTCTAAGCTAAAATGACAACTAAAAAAATAAGCCAACGAATCAAATAATGATACAACCCATGTAAATAATGATGTATCATATTTCACGATTAACTAAAAATAATTCATGAGTTTTATAATAGATTATTAAGATAGAATCTACGAAAAGATCAATCGACTATAGTTGATGTAAAATATGCAGTCTTTATATAAGATAAATATCAAAACATGTCTGTGAGTTTGATATAATAAAGAAATAGAGGGGAAACAATTTTCTTTTTTTCAATTCATCGATACTATGAAGTATAAATAAAATAAAAAAGAGGGTTGATTAAGACAAATTCCGATATTATAAATCACCTGAAGCAATGGAGCCGGTTCTAATGATTAATAGAAAAGATGTGAGATAAATAACAAGGTCGTTAGGCAAATAATTAGATAAATGAAAGAATCACCAAAAATATACTAGGCTCCGTAGATCAATTTGAGACTGATGATAATTCTAATACTTCCTTACTGCAGAATTTTCGAGGCTGATGAGTGACAATGTCATTTTGCCTGATAGGACTACTGGAGCTTCGGCATTCTCTTGAGTATTCTCCGCCTGCGTTTCTGAATCTGTCACAAGTAGCTCACATTGTGCGGGTAACGCTCCTTCCAAGTAAATTGGTTTCGGTGGTGTTGGTTCACGTTCTATCAAGCTAAAAAAAAATTGTATTTCAGTTCAAAAAAGTAATGACATAAAATAGAAAACTTTTTCTGATTAAATTGCATAAAAATTGCAATTGAGTAGATCAATGAAATTATTCAAAAATTTCTTCAAGTATAATTGATGGATTCCCTTAAATAGTAAATAATTATCATTTATTGACTACTATTGTATTATGATAGACAAAAATTTATTTACTTTGGTGAATGAGAAATGACGGGTGTTGATGGTCGACTTATTTTTTGCCCTCCTTCACAGCTTGCAGTCGTTTCCATACCCATAATTAAAACAGTAGGCGATGAATCATCAGTATCTTCAACTTCATGTTTGTCGATATTGCAACAACTTTTACCCGTGCATTCTCCCTGTAATCAAAAGTTATTATGATTAGAAATAAAATTCATTTTCTCAATAAATAAGTCATTCAATTAATTAAAATAAATAAAATTAAGCTCTATAATTGGAGATTAAAATACGTCTGTATCACAAAAACATGCTTCATCATTGAAAGATAATTTCAATTTGTATGTAAAAATTAAACTATATTTTTTGAATCATTTGAACTCCACAAGCGTATCACAAATTGCTAATTTAGCTGTAAAACTGATATAAATTGATTACAGTTCATCATAAACCATTTTTTACAGCTAATAAAAATATTTGATAGAATTGCTTTATGAAAGAATCCGATAAAAAAGTAAGTCAAATGAGGTTTATTTTCATTTGATAAATGAAAAGATGAATTAATGATGAATATTAATTGGATCATTGTTCTAACTTTTAAAGTTATAAAATAATGAAAAGCTGTTCGATTATTCACACATGTATCGGCGATTGCAACGATACCTTCACATGAAGGGGAACCCCTGCCAGACCATAAGACTTTGGAGCCCCATCTACTACTTGAAATTTAAAATTATGTATTGTACAGTTTTATTGCATCAGCACAAAATGAAGTAGAACGCAAAATATTGAATTTCAGGATTCATGGTATCATATTTTACATATCAAATAGTAAATGATGATCATTAAAAATAAAAGATTGATTTTCCATTCGTTTTAATGTAAATATTAAAAATTGGTAAAAGTTTCTCTTTATTTAATTTATTAATTTTTGATTTTTTACAGCTATAATGATGTTTAAATTGCAGAAATTTAAATGAAATGATATTTTGAGGTGAAAAGTTCAATTCCATAGATATTTGAGGTCGTAAAGAAGACCGAAATGGTATATTTAAACTACAAACTTTAATTGAACAAGAGTAGTCAATAAAATTGCTCTTATCATAGTTGGGTTTCATTTACGTACCGATTAACATCCAGATTATTAGTAAAAAGTAATTAACAGACGAAATGAAATCTAGATTGAAAAAATGTTGGAATAAAAGTTTCAAATACTTTGAAAAAAATCAATACACTAACATTTTCATTATTTTTACTGAAGATATGATCTGATAACTGTGACTACAAATTAAAGGATAATTTTTGAAAATTAAAAAGTAATACGATATTACTTCTGTACAATCTTACAGAAAAATCTCTATAACACTTTTTTAGGTAAACTAAAATGATTGAGTGTCAAAAGAAGAACTAGGAAGCATGAAGAATATAATTCAGAACACAGCAGCGTGCATATTTTAATTTTCTACGAAAAAAAAACTTTTAAAAATAAAAAATAAAAAAAAAAAACTAAAGGAGAATATATTCAAACGTGATTTAGATAAACCTGTGTCTCTGGTTGTGAACTCGAATTATGGACAACAGTACGAGATAAGTTGCCCATTTGCACGACAATTCTTTCCATTGCTGCCTCTGTATCCGCCAAACGTTGAATCAGTTGATCTACCTCTATCTCTCCAGGATCTTCTATATGTCCAGCATGTGCAACATTATCACACTAATTCAGAACATCAACTCACGTGCGCTTTGTTCATTATAAAAATTAGCAAAGAAATGATTTCATATTTTTTTTTTCTTCATTTCTTTCAACTTTATCTTAAAAATCTTAATGCTTGTGTCATTGGCTGTGTATTTTAGCATTTTTTGATCTACTTTCAATTAACCCACAGTTGTTTTCACTCGTGGCAACAGACATGTGAGTGATGACAAGTGACACGAAAATGATATAAGCTACTAAAATATTTATTTTAAAATATATTATTAATACTTACGTTGTTTCAGTTCGTCAATAGTTGGTGCACGTTTATTTGGTATTGGTGATGATTCCTTATTATAATATGGCATACCCGTTATAGCTGTTGTTAATAATTCTGGATTAAAAACTCGATCTCTAAATTCTCTTTCAGCTTCTGGATGTGAATATTCAGCATATATTACATTATTAGAATTTTTCCGTACAATCTATAATATGTAAAATGGAATTAGTTTTTCATTTAATTTATTACTATTTTCAATCAATACTAGGAAAAATTTATTGCCTTAGCTATAGTGTAAATGAAGAATATAAGAATCCCAAAGGTATAAAGAGGCATAATAATTCCCATACTTCCACTTCCCGCTTGAGGAGGAACCACACGTCCTGCTCCGCCCATTGGTGGTCTCATATTCTGAAGAATTGTAGTCTCTTGTCTATTCTCAATTTTTGGAACAACATGGGATGCAGGAATCGCTTGCCCACGTTCTCTCAATGCTGGATGTAATCCTCCAGCATGAGAAGGTGGACGCCTTTCTTGTTTAATTTGTGCTAAAAGTTCAAACATTATGTCTTTTAATACCACAATAAATTTATCTCTATACTAAGTTATAATTTTAGATTAAATTTCAAGTCACAATTATTATAGACTAATAATATTCTTGTTATTACACGGCCATTAAAATTTAAGCATCAAAACATAAATTAGTTTTAGTATGGTTTGTAAACCATTAATAATTATTAATGCATTCCTGAGGTTGTAATGTTTTTGAATATTCTTTCAACTGGAAAGTTGTAAAAAAATAAGATTTACATGATGGAAAAACTGTCCATAAAGTAAGCATTTAACTGTCTCATCAGAAATAGTAAACGAAGGGTTAAATATTAAATTACTCAGGAGATGGTTTTTATAATTTGTTAAATGTCTAAAAGACTTGATAATTTATTAGACACTCTAGAGAAATTACTGTGTGTATATGATTTTTTGGCAATAAGCCAGGAATTAAATGAACAGCTTGAGCTGGCAATCCATATATATCCGCACTGACCTTTTCAAAGAAGAATCACCTTTTAGTTTAACTTAAAATTATGTATTATGTTAGACAAACTATTAATAATTCCGTAGTAAATATCATAATTTTTGTTGTAAGGTTAAGTAAAGCATTGATATGCAAAATGCAAACATAGATTTTCAGTTAATGGGATTAATGCACACTAAGTTTATTATGAATCCTTACTATGTGGCATTAATACATGATATCTTATGAGATGTGGAATGCCTAATCGTGATAAGGGTACTCCAAAGTTGTTTTTAAGGCATAATGAACCATTGAATGATCTAATTTCTTCAAGAATTTGTTTGTTAGACTTTCCCACTCGTTCTTTTTCAGCTAAAAATGTTGATAAATCTATTCCGCATCGGGATAAAACTTCTTCTCGACAAAAACTTGCACTTTGTGGCGTTAATTTATTGGTTCGTAAGGCATCTCTTACTCGAGGATCAACTTGATGATGAGTTAAGATATTCTTACACATTTCTTGTAAAATATCCACTGCGTTGACATCAGGCTCAAATATTAAATCGCAGCATACTGTCAATATGTTTATAATCAATGGAATATTTATTAAGAGTTTTGTTGTATATTTCAATTTATTATTATTTTTGAATATTGCTTGTATAACATACTGGATAAGAAATTTAAAAAAAAATACTGGAATTTTTGATAAAATAGTGATTGATAATCAATCAATAGTGTTTTTCTATGCAAACACTTGAATCTTTGATCAATAAAAATAAAGGACAATATTTTCGATTAATACATCATAAAAATAATATTATTATTTATGATAAATGATTATAAATGACGTACCAGATCCTTGAAACTCAGGATTTAGAGGTTTGACAGACGAATTCAGCATAGGAGAAAAAAGTTTCGGCCACAACAGAGCAAAACATATGGCTACAACTCCCAAAACCAAAATAGTTTTACGTATACCAAACTCGCTGTTTGTTTCCATTTTATATCGATTCATATCGTTCGGTATGCTATGATAATTTCGTGTGTAATCCATGATTCTTTTCGTTATAATTTCGACGTCACATCCAGGGATACAACAACTCACCACTGATAAAACGACCGTAGAAGATGGAGGGTCATCAGCTTGACTCCCTCTAGCTATTTTTGTCAATAGTACAAGGTTGTGTCTCTAGTCTTTCGAACCCCAACCACAATTCTTCCACTCAGTAAACATTGATTTCAAAATGAAGAAAAAACTTTTTAAAACCCCGTTGACTTTCTAAATGAAATAATAATAATAAATTTTTATATTGAAAAAAAAATTCAGAACATATTTTTCTCTAATATTTTTAAAAAAGCTTAAAAAAAAAATAGTGCTTATTTATATTAAGAACGAATAATAATTTAAAAAATTGTATTTTTATTACTTTATAAGCATTTATTAGTATTGAATACTAGTGAAGATTTAACGTAGTTATTTAATTTATGTAAATTATATTAAATAATATCTAAAGTATTTGAAAAAGTTATTCTCTCCGCGTTATTCAGGACCGCCTCGCTAAAATAAAAAAATGAGAATCATTATTTAATTAATTAACTTAAAAATTTCAATAAATCTCTGCGATTACTGGAACTTAATCTTACATTAATATATGCAATTTCTTTTTCATCAATTGGTCTTCTTTGAAAGCGAGCAGGAATTTGATAATCTTCAATTGTTGGAAGGACAGTAACATTGGGTCCTGTGGCACCTTTAGAACTTAAATGTGTAGTCGGCCCTGACCCTGTAGATGTAGCTGCAGTCACTCCAGTGGCTATAAAAAATATTTTTCATATTTATTATTAACACCGTTACAGTGTTTATCTGTTATTTATAATTTTATATAATAACCTCTATTTCCTCCTTTTCGGAATTTAATCATTGGTATATGAGCTTGAACCACCTATAAATTTATTTACAAACATTATATAAAAACATTTAATAAGTATTTTTGAACTATTGAGAAATAAAATCTCTTCGTAACTTAAAAATATATTTTATTTTGTATCTTTAAAAATTTAATGATAAGCTTACCTTCCATCCTTTCGATGCCATCATTACTTGATTTTTTTCCAGTTATTAATTATTTATACAACAATTTCGAGTGATTAACCTCGATAAAGATAAGAAAAAAAATTTACACACACATCTATGATTATCAGCTGCTACCTGAGTGTAGGGGGCGTACTCAAACTAATTTTCAAATTTTACATGGATGAAGTAAACAAAAGAAACTGTTTGCCACAAAGATTATTGTTTATACATATTTTTTCTGTGATAATTAAATTAAAATTATATAGTATCGTTTCATAAATTTATTCTACTTTTTTGGAATATTTTAGTTACTTGTGAATTGCATGTATAGTCTATTAAGAATCATAAATTCGTTAATGTATTGGGCAAGGTTATAAATTTTGTATCATTAAACAATTTACTTATATTTTTACAAATTATTTCGATAAAAATGTCTGAAATTGATGTGGAAACATCACCTACAAATGATAAGTCTAATGATGGAAGTAAATCACCAACATGGTATCAAGAAAGAGCCGAGAAAAATCGGCAAAAAGCATTGTTAATTAAAAAATCGAAGCTTGTTGCACATCCTTATGCAAGAGAGTAAGAAAAATTCACTATTATTTTATTATTACTCTAATATTTAGTTAACTAACAATAATCTTATATTTAGGAACAATGAACAAGAAGAAAATGGATATCAGGGAAGATCTATCAAGGTTCAAGGCCAAAAAGTTATTGATAGTGGCGGAGGTTTTTTAATCGAGGAAGATATTGAACTTGAACAAGAAATGGTAAATATTATGAAACAGGACTGAGCAGCTCTGTATTTTGATGATTCACATAAAAATAAATAATAGTGACTCTGGGCCCATTTTAAAATCTTATATCAATCTATTTCTTTTTTGTTTAAAGAGTTGACTTAGCCCTGTTGTAAAAAAATGAATTACTCTATAGCTCGAGAAATTAGGACTTTATAACTATTGCTTACAGTTAAAACTTACTGAAATCCCTGCTCCAATAGTCGAAGGCCTTCCTTCCTGTGAGGAATGCAAAAAAGAATTTAAAGATTCATGGTTACTCCAAAAATTTGATTATGCTGTTTGTGATTTATGCAAGTAGGTATCCAACTTTTTCCTCGTTTAGTTTATGGATCATTAAAAAATCAGGAAATGCAGTTTTTGAATATCAAAAATTCTTTTTTAGAGATCCAGATGACAAACATTCTCTTATTACAAAAACAGAGGCAAAAGAAGAATATTTATTAAAAGATGTTGATTTAGATAAAAGGGAACCACCTTTAAAATATATCGTGAGAAAAAATCCTCATAATCCACGTTGGGGTGAAATGAAATTGTATCTGCACTTACAAATTGAAAAACGAGCTTTAGAAGTGTGGGGCACTGAAGAAGCTTTAGTGGAAGAGAAAGAAAAACGTGATATAAAACGTCAAGAATCAAAAGTTAAAAGATTTAACAACAAAGTTCGTATTTTTCACAAAAACAATCGATTTTTTTTTAACAGTTTTAAGTGATTTTCTCTTCTATTGAAACATTTTTACTTTGTAGGTCAAGAAACTTAGAATGGAAGTTAGAAGCTCTTTGTACGATAAAACCAACAAAGCATCGCATGTTCATAAATTTGGTGAAGATACTTATAATGAAGAAGATGATACATACACCCATGAGTGTGTCGAATGTGGTTATGAAGAAACGTATGAAAAGATGTAAAATAATTTTTATACTTATAATTATTAAAGCTTACAAGTAAACATTGATGTAAGACATCGATGATTGAATTAATAATAATTTCTTTATTGGAAATAAATCATTTGTTTTTGTAAAACAATATTATGCATAAAACTGATCTATTCACATAAATAAATACAATTTTTAAACAATAGTGTAATAATGTGACTAAACAAATTAAATCGTTAAACATAAAATAAGTTGATTTTAATTTAATATAAATTATTAAATCAAATTTTCCGCAACAATAAAATTTGATCAATATACTGAGCAAAAAGGAAATCAATTTTTAATAAATAATTACTAAATAAACGTTTTAATATTATTAAAGGAATATTCTCTTATTTAAAAATAAGTTACATCAGTAATAATACATACATTAAATGCAACATAAACAAAAAAAATATTTAACTCTTAAGTGACCTCATAAATGTTCCACTTTGTCCAAATTATTTTATTTTTAACAAAAAAGCCATTCAAATTTCCATTTTTTTTATAAATTTAGGCTACGTTTTTTTTTGATATTTCATAGTACGGATTTACTTGAATAAATTTTTATTTTCTCGAATGAGAAACAAATTTTAAGCTGGAAGACTGCTTAAAAGCGGAAAATTCATGGGATTTAATAACTTTTTGAATTATATTCAATTTCTCTTATGAAAAAACTGTTTGGTAAATACTCATTAGTTAATTTTTTTAAAACTACACTTTACCAACATAGTTTCTAGATAGATATTGAAATATTTACTGCATTTATTATCTGTTTTTACTCTTAAAATTAATTACCGAAATTAAAATATATTCACATCTTCTTTATTAATGCAGTCACATATTCTCGTAAATTAATAATTTATCTTTCACAACACAAATTAAAAGAATAAGTCCAAGTTTTTTTTAAACTAAGATGGATTGTTTTCATCTGTGTTATCCTTAGATGTACATAATGGAATATCTGGTACCATTAAGCACAACTTATCACTTCGTATGGGTTTTACAGGATTACAAATTGTTGTTGACGATCTAAATAAAAATAGATTCTCCTTAGTGTCTTAACAACAATTATAAAGAATTAATTTATATCACATTAATCAAATATTTTTTATTACCTATTGTGTTTTAGATGACTTTTGACTAGATGACCTGCGGTTAATGCAGCCATGAGTGATAATTCTCCGGCAAGAACAGTGGCACAAACAATTCTCGCTAACTTACTGGCATTTTTACCAGGTTCTTCTTCATGAGGTCCTTTAACACCTAACATAGAAAGACAAGCGGCTTGAGCTGGTAAACCAGTACCACCGCCAACTGTACCAATTTCAATACTTGGCATAGTACAAGAAACATATAAATCTTCACCGTCTTCGCCCCAAGGTTCCATCAGAGTCATACAATTACTACTTCCAACATTTTGTGCTGGATCTTGACCAGTAGCAATATAAATGGCAGTTACAATGTTAGCAGCATGAGCATTAAAACCACCAACACTACCAGCTACTGCTGATCCAATCATATTTTTACTGATATTAACATCTACTAAAGCATGAACTGAAGTTTTCAAAACAGTAGTTACGATATCAGCAGGTACAACAGCTTCACATACAACACTTTTTCCACGACCTTCAATCCAATTCACTGCTGCTGGCTTTTTATCTGTACAAAAGTTTCCGCTGAGAGATAAAATTTCCATATCTGGAAAATAAGTTTGTACACATTGCAGAGATTTCTCAGTTCCTTTTGATAACATATTCATTCCCATAGCATCGCCTGTTTTAGCGACAAATCTGATAAACAGATGTCTTCCGGCAATACGAACATGAATCTTGATTAATCTAGCAAATCTGCTAGTTTTATCAAAAGTTTTCTTCATTTCCGCAAAATTTGTTGCATTTTGCATCCATGCCATAGCTTCACTTGCTCTTACGATATTTGGAAATCTTACTACTGGACCACGTGTCATTCCGTCAGCAACAACACGACTTGTAATACCACATTTTAATAATGCACGACTTCCTCTATTCGTAGAAGCTACTAAACAACCTTCTGTTGTTGCCATTGGCACATGATACAGATTACCATCAAGTAAAAGTGGGCCTGCAATTCCAACAGGAACTGGTATGTAACCAATAACATTTTCACAACATGCTCCTAACACTTTAGTATAATCATAGCTTTTATATGGTAAATCAGCTAGTTCATTTGTAAAGTTTGCAGCTGCTTTTACGAGGAGTCGACGTATACCAACACCTCTTTCCATGTTATCTACTGCTTTCTCTAACTGATAAGCGGGAAGATATTTCTGATGGACCAACTGGAGCACTTCCTTATCTGTTAATGCACTTGCTCCTAACTGAAATAAAAGTATTGTTCATTAAATCCATTTCATTCAATAGAAAACTTTGAATATTCTTCCAAGCAATTAAAATATTGTCTTACTTCTGAACGATAAATTGCCAAGCATTCTTCGATACTTCTAGGTTCTTTTTCATTAGTTTCTTCAACTTCATCATTATTAATTGGTTCAAGATTTGATACTTTAACATCTGTTTGTACTTCTTTATCTTCAAGCTCTATTTGGGACTCATTACCTACTTCAATCCAATTATCACCCATTGCAGATAAGGGAAACATTGGCGTATGAATACCTGACAAAGAATTTCCAAATCTTTGTCTCAAGGAAACATCAAGAGATGCTGAATGCATTACGTCACTGGAGTTATCTTCTGGTGATATACTTTCAGGAGATTCAGTTTTCTCGTTGCATTGCAATTGTTTAGCAATATCACCTTTATCTTCAATAAAAATAAATTTAAGTGCTAATGCTAATAAAAGTATCAAAATAACAATATTATCAGCGCTAAGTGACAGCCAGTTCATAAGATGCTCTTTCAAATCATCTGGGGTTTTCGATTTATTGTGATTTGTTATTATGACGTGTGAGCTTATTGGTAATGGAGTTCTCTCTACTGTATCATCATCGTCGCTTTGTCTAAAAGGCCAACGACTGAAACATGACAAACAAAATATTTAATGTTACAATAATCAGAATAATATATTCATTAAATGAAAGTTTAAGTATTTTAAAAAAAAATTTAAATAATAAATATAGAAAAAACTTCTAATCAAAAGAAAAGTGTGTGAAGTCACGTACGTTCTTTAACTAACTGAATCGTCAACTACCTTGACATCGGCAAATGTTAAAAATTTTGTCTAGAATTTGAAAACAGATATATTTTTAGGATTTTCTTTCGCAGTTCATGACTAGTTATCTTTTGTCCAAAAGTTATTATTATCATACTTATGAAATATTTAGCTCGACATAATATTACATGTTTTTTATGCAAATATTATCCATATTAAATTGTTTACTCGAATAATAATCTCTCCAAGAGGAAAAAAAACCAACAGCCATTGCTAAATAAAAATTTAGATATCAATCAATAACATAAAATTATACAACAAATTGTCTAAATAAATGTAATGTATTTAGTACGAATATTAAATTTAAAAAAAGAAACATCTATTGCGTGGTGAACCTGACCTGCAGAATGATGTACAAAGAATCATCTAACAATAAATACTAGAGTAAAAGAAGGTTTGAAGAGGTCAGATCAAAGATAAACAGAGTAACGTCAATCTTTCGTCGTATAGTACAACTCATTGTGATATTGAAACTTCTCTAAATTTTTTGAATGAAAAAAAAAAAAGAAAAAAACATACTCACTATTCAAATAGAAAGTTAATGTTTGCAGAATTTTTTTTCATTCATCAGTTTTTATAAGCAATTTTTTCCTATTTTATTCTCGATTATTCTTTCGCCTTGATGATGAAGGTTATTTCTACAATATACCCTTAACATTTTGTACTTAATAGTTAACTGCCTTTCTCGAAATTTCTCAACAATTGATAAAATGGTTGCAAGGTTTTTATGAACAGTAAACTCGTTTTAAGTTTTTTTCTCCGCAAAATAAAATAGAACGGATATTGCGACATTAAAATAAAACTATTACTACGATGTTAATGATTTATCTGTTGATCTACCTGTGAGCATGTACAACGAAGAGACCAGCAATCATTATCAATTTAACACGTTCTACAACAGGATTTGGTTTTTGATCCTCTTCGTTGAACGAGTGGAGCATCAATATTTTATCAGCACTTAAAGTGCTCACACCAATATTATTCCTCGACAGCTGAAAAGAGAATAAAACGTATTTTTAGACATTTCAAAATAATCAACAAAAAATACTTGATTAATGATTTAATGAAAAATTAAAAATAATTCATTTTAAATCATTCAGAAATATGATCAATAAATTAATCATTAATGTAGCTATTAATAATATTAGAAATAAATTGTATTTTTACCTCTAATATTAATGATAAACATGCAGGATAAAATGTCATGAAAACGATGTAATTAACAACGACTCCAAGACAAGCAAAACTGCAGAGAACTTCCAGTCGTTTAACTCCGGATAAAGATCCTATGCCAATTAAAAGTGTTTCTACTATTGTGTCTAGTGTAATAGATGGACCCAAAAGTGACATTCCACGAGCAATATTTGCTCTCACTTCTTCCTGACTTCTTGCACTGAGTGCCAGCTGTGCTAATATTCCAGCTTTGTTTAAATCGATGAGTAGTAGAAAAAAGAATAAAGCATTTCTGTAAAGAAAAAATTATAAATTATTTAATTATTAATCTTCATTAAATCTCCATTTAATAATAAACTGTTAAAAAATTCTTAATAACTTTATTACTGTAATAGTTTTAAACATACTATTTATAATACTAATTATTTTCTTCCTTTTTAATGCCTTATTAACAGCAATATATTAATGATAATTATTAACATGTTATTAAATAATTATTGTTGTTAATTAAAATTCTTACGGATAATTATTATAATTACTGAGTTAGTTAGAATTTTAAAAATTTTTCGAGATTATCTTCTCAAACATAAGCTAATTAACAATTTAAATAATGTAATTGAGCACGAATATTGTATAATGTTATAAAAAAATTTTAGTTCTATTTTTATCATAAATTGCAAGAAAATAAACTCACTTGAGATCAGAAACGTCACTGCGACCAAAATTAACAACACTAGTGGTGAATACCACGCTGGAGAAAACAGTGAATAGACCAGCAATACCTAGTAATCATAAGATAATTTTCTTAGTAAGTTGAAGAACTGTTTAGTGTCTTTAATCGTCCATGCATGGTACGTGTTAATCGTAAAGAACATGTTTTTAATCAAGCCAAAAATATTTTAAATATCATTCTCAATTGCAATTGCATACTGTAATATATTCAATTTCAAATTATAACTATAAAAAACTTGAATATAATTTTTTTTTCAAAGCCATTCAAGATGAATGCATTTATTTTTCGTATAAAAAGAATGCTATAATTAATTTGGTAATCAAGAACATTGTCAGCACGAGTTTAGCCTCAAAAGAAATGCTATCACTTTCCATGGAACTTTCACTAACGCCCAAGGCTTTCACATGATGCTTTTAATATATATTCGAAATCCGGTTTTAGCAGAAGTAATAATCTTGATATTTAATTTATATAATACAATTAATCACATAGTATGATGATTCGTTAATATTTTAATTGATTTCTATTACTTGGCTATTTGAATAAATGTCCTTTGATTTATCTAATAATAAGCTGTCTTTCTAAAATACGTTATATTGACATTATCATTGTATTTAAATTATTCACGACTTCAGGATCAATCACTCAAAATAATTGCAATGTAAAGTATTACCTAAGATGTATTTCGATCCAAGTTTTTGGAGATTACGAAACTGATGATAGCTAAATAAAATTGCTAAACATCGAATTATTGTCATAACAATGACATCTACTGCATTATAATCCTAAAATAAAATGTTGAAAAATTATTATAATTATTTAAAAATAAATGATTGGTAAACAGAAAATGTATAATATTTACATCAGAATGACATCGTCCATTCCAACAATTGGATGTACTTGAAAATCTTCCGTCTTTTGACAGAGTGTTTCCGGTGTCCAAGTTGAGCATACATGCTGTTAATGTAAACGTTGTTACAATGACTTCCAGTGGATGACCCGCACAAAATCTTCCATGTACTTCAAATAGTTTTGCTAACATTTTTATTTGTTATTGTCGTGATTGTGTGTCGTTGTACGTCAAATAAATTCTGAGAAGAAAAAAAAAAGAGAGAGTAGTTAATATTTAAATTACAATGGTAGCTTTCTTTTTTCCCAATAATCTGTTTAAAAGCTGAAAACAGAAAATGCTCTTTAATTTCAATTTTTTATCTAAAGCGTGAAATATAAGTTGATGTATATTTATAGCTAGTAAAATAATTATTCATTCTCACTTATGATAACAAGTTAATTATACAGGGAACACCTTATTGCTATTTGCAGCTTATTTTAATTTTATCAAAAAATTTCAGGCAGTTAACTATTACTATGATAGCAAAATTACTACCGTAAACGTTTAACATCAGCTAATTTAATATATGCATGTCTATATTCATTCCATTGTCATGGAATGACAATCTCATGAATATTTGAACTTCTTTTCCCAGAATTCTGTTCAGATATCAGTTAACGTAGTTTCCTTTCAACTGTCCATTTCAAAATGGTTAAATTTCATATTTTATCTTTTTATTTATTTATTTATTTATTTTTTTATTCTGATATTTATCAATAGAGAAAAGTCAAAACAGGAAAAGCAGTTAATTGATATGATTATTCTTTTATTACCACAAGAGAATTTTTTATTTGAGTAAGAAAATTAACAATGCAATGAAATAATTGTAAAGATCATTCAGAAATATGATTGCATGCACGTTCAGATAACTCGACATAAACCTTATGTCTGCCAAGGTCGCCGACTTTCCGTAGATTCCAGTACACATACACGAATACCCTGATCATTGACCCCTTTTTCTAATTTTTTATAGTCTATAATTATTGTCATTACTTGATCTCTTCTGTAACCAATAATTACCGAATTCAGCAACACCTCTACAATTAATTATACATTCATTTATATCATAAAGCAATGACGGTAATTATTGAAGAAGATTAAATATTCATGAATCAAATATTATATAATTTTCTCAGATTATTTATTGCCAATCTAGACTTGAATAAAAATTTTTTTCCAAGTTTAATTTTAAATTTTTATGAAATTCAGATTAATTTCCAAACTCTTTGGTGAATCAATTGATCTAAAGCTAGAAAGCAAAATGAACTACAAAGATAAGAATGTAGAAAATAAAATGAAAAAATTAGGATGGATTTCATTGATTGAATATACGTCAGAAAAGATATTTACTAAAATCAATGTAGTTGATTAGAATAAATTATCATGCAAATGCTGAGAATGTTTGTCATAAAAGTGTATTGCTAAGGTAAATAATGAAATAGAACAAAGATATTTTGGAGTATTTTTCAATATCAGTGGCATAGTAAATGCTTGGTGCGGCCTTAACCGAAAGTTTCGACATACAATTCCAACCATTATATTTCACCTTTCTCTTGAAAGATTCACGAGAGAGTTGAATAATTTACTCATCATTTTATGAAGTGTTTAGTTTCATCTACAACCACACATATAGTTGTCACAACGTGGCAACTTAGGACTTAAATAAAACGTCAGAAAAGACATTCTTATGTTATGCTAAATGTTCCGGAAGAACTTCTTACGAAAGAATCATCAAGTTTATGTTTTTTATACAAAGTTAAATTTTAAAATTCAATCCAATGTATTATTTGTTGTCACAGCTTTTCTTTGTTTCAAAGTCAATCGATTCTTCTATTTTAATAAATTTGTTCAATATTTTCTATGCGAATTATTTAAAATTAACTTCAAAAGACTTTAAAGTCACTTTTACATACCTCGTTAATAGATTATTAAAAATATTCCATACAATTGGTTGTGGGGTAAAGCACCTTTTAAATATTATTTACAATAGTCGTAGCTAAATATTTTATAATTAATTATTAAAATAGTTTGATTTATTTTTATTCAGTTAACGATCTCGTAATTTTTTAAATCTTCATTTTAACTTTGCCAACTGATTTTAACTGATGACCATAAAATCAAGAGTCAATGTATCAACTTGGTAGACACTACGCTGGTTCAAATGCGTGTTAACGAATGAACAGAAATCGACTGGCAACGAGAGCTACCTCTTGGTTACTGGTACCCTAAGGTTCTCCCGCTCGAGGATTTCTTCTACATGTGTTCACCAAATACCAATATATACTGTCAAGATAGTCGTTAATGTACAGGTGGTTGATATTAAAATTGTGTTGAAGTTATGAAAAAAATTTTGAGTCATTTATTACTTATTGATATGGTTCTTCTATCATAAAATTTTAATGGATAAATCATCATTAATTAATAGTCATTGTATAGAATAATATTTATTCAATATTTAAGTTTGAAAAAAATATAAATAGGTATTGTTTATCTACATGCCTGAAATTTTTTTTATAAAATCATCAGATATTTATAATATTATCATGATTATTTTTAGTACAGTATTGAGTTTTATTTATATAACAAAATTTTTTGCAGAATAAAATTCCCTATGAAAACGTGGAGGTTTATTACTTACAAGAATTTTTATGGAAACTAACAGAAAGATTTTTATTATTTAAGGTGTGATTACTCGTCAATTTATAATTTCAATATTTCAATTTTTTAATTCTTTATTTTTTTCCAATATAAAATTTTTAATTTTGAATTTATATTTTTTACTCCTTGATTAAAATATTTCGTGTAATCTACAATTATATTTAAAAATATTGTTAAAAAATTATTTTGTCTATCACTGGTACGATCATTTATTATAGATAGTGAAAATATTTTTTTAATGCGAATTAATTAATTTATTTAAAAACTATAAAAAATATTTATGCACCATATATCAAATTAGAAAAATAGACTAAAAAAAAATGTCAATATAAAAATTACAATCTATTTAATCATTACTGCAGTTTAAAAAATACTTCAAAATTTAAATTGTTTTACGCGTTTTTTATTGAAGAGAAAAAAGTATGAAGCAGTTTATTGATTGTATGTAAATAATAGGATCAATTTGTAGAACATGGTCATGCATATAATGAACATCAATTAAAATGCAAAGTAATTTTTCTTGTGATTTGACACACGATTTATCAGAATTCGATATTAATTCAAAATTCATTCTAATAATACTTAATGTTTTGGCAACATCAAAAATCATGTTACGTATTATTTGGACATATTTTTCAACATCTTTAAATTTAGAATTCCCGCTATTATCCCACCAATTGTATTTATAAATGGATAAAATGATTAATACTAGAGGAAACATTCATCAAACAGAAATATCAAACCTAATGCAATATTAAGAAATGAAAGGTAAATTCACAATATTATTGATTTTTGATATCAATATTATTGTTGATTAATTTAAAAAAGGATCATTTTTCTATGAGAAACTTTCACAATAAGTAAACCAATTTTGTAAATTAGAACTCTAAACTTATGAATATTCAAAAGAGAATGTGTGTGATTATACAGTGTTAAAAAAATTAATCGAAATGAGCAATGGGATAATAACGTGAAAATTTCTCTATCCAATGATTTTCACTTTGATATAATGATGATTGATTAATCATATAAATAAAACCCAACCACTTAAAAGATATTTCACTTTAAAATCAATTCACTCACTTGTAGGTGTAATTTTCCAAATTAATTACTAGTCTTCTGAATAATCCTTAACAAATAGCTAGCATCTTTTAAAATCATTGTTTCATCATATTTGAATTTAATTTTATAATTTAAATGAAATCATCTTCAGTACTTGGATTCTTTTTATATTGTGAACATCTACGAGCATTATCAGAATCTCATAGATTCATATTTATAACCCATTCTATTCTTGTTGAACAATTTAATTCTACTCACTTGACTTTTTGTTTCATTGAGAGAACACATTCTAAAATTATTCTTCATGAGAAAAAGTAAACGATTTTCAAATGCTTGAACTTGTGTAAATAGAATAACAAATCCTTAGATTTTCAAGGAAATCCATTCACGTCTGGAGCGTTACAATAAGAGAAAAAAATATTTTCCTAAAAAACATTTTTCTACCATTTTTTTCAGCATGCTTGAAAAAATAACTTAACACAAGTTGAGAAGATGTGCAATGCTTATTTTTTAGTTCAAAATCATGAGAATGGAAGAGAAATCTCTGCAAGGCCAAAATATTTAACAGCTTTTTTTTTATTTCTACATTCATTAAAAGGTATCTCATCAGCTGGACTATTGAAAATAATGAATTACTAAATAATTCCATAAGTTATCTGATTGTGTCCATGTTTACTTGTATGACAACTTTTCTCTTTTGCATTACTTCAACTCCTTACGGTATATCAAATCGTATAAATTCCTGTAATTTACATAATAAGAATATTTTTAGATTTAATAATATAATAGATTGCGAAAAATTATTCAAAATTTCTTTTTTACTTCAAATAATCTAGAATTATTAATTCAGATATAATTCGTTATCTTTACTATGTGAAAGAAAATTATTCGACACAATTTTTTTTATGTATTGACGCATACCAATTAGTGAATTTTTCTTATCATCACGGAGTGATGGATAATGATGCGATGACTGCAAAAATGACGGTAATGGAAACAAAGTAGAAATATACTAATTACTGGTATAATGATGTAGCTAAAGAATTCACAATATTTACATTTCCTGAACTTGAATTATTCAAGGTGACCATTTTATCAAGAATGCCCTGGTGAACTTGCGATAACGAAAATAACAATTTATGCTAAAATCGAACTCCGTAGGTTGATAGATAAAAGAATTAATTTAAAAAAATTTTTAAAAAACTAACATATGCTAATAATTGACTGAATTCAAATGAGAATATTATTTATTTTAATATTGAGCTGATAATTCTATTGGGAAAACATTTAATATACTAGAAAACAAATGATAAATTGAAGAACTGGAGAAACAAATAAATTAGTATGGAGTACTTTGGTTTCTCTTATAGCTAAGAAGACGTGAATGGAATATTCATAATAAAAACAATGTTGAAATCAAAGAACTTGATATATAATAATGATAATAGCAAATAGTATGAACAAGAATGTATTTGTATTTAAATTCCTGGTAGATTAATTCATTTAAAAATATTTTATAATATAAGCATTGATTTGTCACAACTAAATAATTAATTTATTAAGTCAATGTGACCGAAATAAATATATATGACAAGGTGTAGATGATAAAATATCAGTCAATTTGAACTTCCCTTTGGCAAATTACTCTAAGAGTTCATTGTCAGATGACCATGGCCTGCTTTTGTCAATATTTTTAATTTATGACTTTCATGATTTGCAAACTGACACTCCTAAATATTTTTATTGTCATTAAGTTGACATACAAATTTAGATTGTTATGTGACAGACTCTTAAATCTCACTTTTAATATCTATTGTCAAGTGCTTTCTTTTATTTAATATTTTTTCATTGACTTTAATAATTTTGTTTTTTTATTATTCATTTTGTTATAATTTAACGTTTAAATTATTGTTTGAAGTTAATGAAAAATTTATATCATTCGTTTTATCTGTCTAATAAATTATTTAATAAGTAATATAGATAAAAAAACATCAAATCCAAGCTTTTGTATTCGATGGACTTAATTACCAAATTTTTTTATCTATTATTCATTAGTAATGAATATAAAACATAATAAGATTAATATATATTGTTTTTGATGTTAATTATAGAAATGACATTGAATATCATGATTCAAAATAATGTAATGGAATAATTAACTTATAATTGTGTCTGACGTAAAGGCAAATTATAAAAAGAGAAGTATTTTTTACGAATAATATTCTTTATGACTTGGTAATAAATAAAAAAGTTCAATTTTCAGATATTCAAATACGTAACAAACTTTTCAAGAATTGTTAATAGTTGAAAAATAATTAAACAAAATTTAATCTTTAATAATTATACCAAGTTTCGAATTTAAATTGTTATACCTTAATAATTGAAATTGATTATGATAATTATTTAAAAAATCTTGATTACTCAGTGAAAGTAAGATCGTGGCACTACAAAATATGTTTAACTTTTCTTAACACTACTTAAAAAAAAGGTTATACAGAAAAGAAATGGAACAAAGTAAAAGTTTCTGCTCTAATTGCATCATTTATAAAATAAAAAATCAAAATATTGTGTGATTAATTAATTCAAAGTATGATTTAAGTCATCAATAAAGATAAAAAAATGATTGATAAGGAAATCAATAAAGTTATGTTAAAAAATTACGGATTATTATATAAAAGCATTTATATAAAAGATTGACATATGTATACAATATATATCAAAGCTAACGTAAAGGGTTAACCTCACAAATACTCACCAGTATTGGCATTTAATTCTCATTGCATTATATTAGTATTTAATTTAAAAAATTATTACATGTACTTAATCAACTATTATATTATATATTCGTAATTACTATTACACATATTATACACTTAAAATTACATAAAATAATCTAAAACTTTGTTGTGATTTCTCCAGCTGACAGTATTTGTTTATAAATGTCCTTGTCATTATGTTGGTAGTGGTAAGAACTTGTTTAATTATTTTTCAGTTGGTATCAATCAACCGATAAAATCATGTACTTTAATTTGTCTCTGTTCTTTGCAACTTTGTATTCTTTGAATTCGTGTTGAAATCAATTAGAAAAATCTTATTGCGTTTTGGAGTAAAAATTGATCTACTTGTGATATTTTTAATATAATAATATAACAACTAACAATAAAAATTTTTTGAAAATTACAAAGAGTGTATAAATAAACAATATACAATAGAGTCAAGTTATTTTATGATAATATAAACAATAAGACATTATGGCATTTTTTGATAAGAATTACGATAAGGTAATATGGATATTATAATGTATTGAATAAACATTATCACATTATTGCTTCTTCAATAGGAACATCCGCGTAATCTCATTCCGGAATTATGTCGACAATTTTATCATCTTGGATGGGTCACCGGTACCGGTGGTGGAATATCTATCAAACATGGGTAAACGTGTATTTTAAAAAGAATTCTTTAATTACTATTACGATATTAAAAATATTTTAGGGACGAAATTTACATTGCTCCTTCCGGTGTACAAAAAGAACGTATAGCTCCAGAAGATATGTTTGTTCAAGATATAACTGGAATTGAAATTTCAGCTCCACCACCAGAGAAAAAATTTAAAAAATCGCAATGTACTCCATTATTTATGTGTGCATATACTGCTCGTAATGCAGGAGCTGTTATTCATACTCATTCAAAATTTGCCGTAATGGTCACGTTATTATGGCCTGGAAAGGAATTTCAAGTAACACATTTAGAGATGATCAAAGGTTAATTATATCATGATAATTATTAATATTCTTTATGCAGCTACATTGTAATTTAATTACCTTTAATAGGTATAAGAAATCAAAAATTAGGACGAGCTTACAGGTATGATGAAAAATTAATTGTTCCTATTATTGAAAATACTCCATTTGAAGAAGATCTTAAAGATCGAATGGCTGAAGTAATTCAACAATATCCAGAGACATGTGCTGTTTTAGTTCGAAGACATGGAGTATATGTTTGGGGCGATACTTGGCAGCAAGCGAAAACAATGTAAATTACTCAGTTTTTCTATAAAATTTTTAAAATAATATTCTACAATTAATTTCTTATTATAGGACTGAATGTTATGATTATTTGTTTGATGTTGCGGTACAAATGAAGCAAGCTGGTATAAATCCACTTCTTATTCCTGAAGAGTATGAATTAAAACATCAGATGAATGAAAATAGTTAAAATGCAAATTTAATTTTTTTTTTAAACTGATCATTTAACAATGATAATCTGCACACAGAGTAAAAAAATATTTTATATTTTTATGTACATATTTTAGAAAAGAATAAAATTACGAATCACATTCATAGGGCTGGAACTTTTTCCGAATTTTTTTAGCCAAAGTTGTTTCTTCTTCTTCACTCATTTGACAATCTTTCCAATCTATTCGATCATCTAAATCTAATAACTCTTTATCCGCTAAAACTTCTCTTCCAAATTGGAGAGGAAAATTCCGTTCAATTTTATGATATAATTCCTCTCCATTGGGGAGCTGAAGATAAAAATAGGTTGTACCTGGTGGAGCTGTTTCTTCGAGACTTGAAGTTAGAGGTTTCAGGTGAATATTTTGAGAATCCGCAATTTCCTTAAAATAAAATTCAAATTAATACTAGAAAATTCATAACACTTACAATATTCGAAATTAACGAATTAACCATTTCTTACTTTAAAAACCGTTGAAACATGCGATTCGAGATTCTTAGGAATTGGAACTGCTTGCAATTGACAATGAGAGCTTTTGTAATTTCTTTCAAAAAATACAGGTACTCTTCCAGTGCTAGAATAATATCGTTCTACAGCCTTTTTGTTTAATTCTATCTCTTTTTTAATATTTTCAGATACAGTTGATAAACTCTGATAATGAGTAATCGGTAGTATGAGGAAATGATCATCAACTAATCCACCTTTAGCCAATGCTATATACACTTCATTGCTAACTGATATTACTAAATGTTTAGACACATCAGGACTTGACAAACAAAACCAACATTTTGCTTGATCAAATTCTGGCTTCTTGTTTCTTTTTGGTTGTCTATCATTACCTGAAGATCGTTTATTATGTGATTCCATGTCATAAAAGAATTGTTGTGATTTACCACCTTTGTCAGATGGACTATTAAAATTCAAAAGAGAAATATGGTAAGGACTTTGTGTTTCATCCGTAGTTTTTTCTGCTAAATCTTTCAAAGATGTACGATCAACAGGCGTTAAATTTAATGCATAAAGCCATTTATGCTTTTGTGGATTTCCAACCCGAGCAAGCCCAATGAATCTGGTAGCTATTTCGATACTATTTCCACCTTTTGATTGATTTCTAGAGGAAAAGATAACAATACAATAATTGGGTTCAATATTAAAAATAGTGTAAATAATTACCTATATGGGGGTCGCTCGTAATGAATACTTTCAATGCCAGTTACATGATACCTTGGTTTTATGTGAGCAGCTAACCAAGCGATAAGCTGAGAGCCATTATACTTCAAGTTTGGTTCATTAGGATCAAACCGAGTAATATCCATTGGCCATTGCGAGCTTAATAAAAAATCAACTCCACGGAAATTTGGATGACCTTTTAAACAAGCATTTCTAACAGATACAACATCATTTTCTGTTAAAAATATATTTGATGATGAATTTTGATCATTTTTCTCAACACCACTAACATAAGCAATTTTGAGTCCGGAGTCAGCACTATAGAGACCTCGTCTACCTAAATAAAGAATATTGTAACAAATGTCACATCCATCTAAATTAGGATAACATTTCACATGTTCTTCTTTATTTGGTCCAATTATAAAAGTTCTAATTGGAAATTTTTTAATTCCATTTTTGTAGGGCTCTAATTCACTGTTATCTTTTCCGAAAAAATCTCCAACACACAGTAAAAGATCAAAAGGACCATTTTTTTTATTAATTGATGTTACTTTAGAGCTGAGCAGATTGAATCGACCTTCCACATCTCCACAAATTAATATTCTGTGTTTCTCAGCCATCACACATTTATTGAATATATTTATGTAGTAATTATTATGTAAATAAGAAATTTTTCAATTGGATGATTATTTCTTGTCAATGTTTTGATTCACTAGGAATTGAGGTTAGGTTCTTGATTGATTAATAAAATTCTGTTATACCAGAGAAGTCTTCTTTCTGGTTATACCAACAGAATCACGACCTTAGTCCACTTTAGTTCTATTGGGCTCTCTAGAGTTAGATTTCTTGTTCAGAAAGAAAAGGAAAAAATTTTTTAATTTCGTTAATTTAAATTATCCGCGTTTTCAATTAGTACTGATCTAGATGGCATTATACTAGTCTTCGTCACGGAATGCCACCTAGATTGAACTGCTTGCGAATTAGATTGAACGAGAAAATGCAGTGACAGTTGACTCTCTGTGAAATCCAACATTTTCGCTCAATCTATGCAAACCTCGAGGTCATAATTTAGTTGAAGTGTAGTTTTTATATCACTTACTTAGCATCACTAGATATTTACGTGGATACTGAACGTTTATTACTTCAATATTAATTTCTAAAGCAGATAATTAGTAGAGCATCGTCGATTTGGAGGAGTTCGGCGTTATATTTCGATAAAATGACGGCCCACGACCAAATGCGAGCTATGCTCGATCAATTGATGGGAACGGGACGTAACGGTAAGTAAATATTTTCCATCACACGTTGCATGAAACATACGTTACACATTAATTTACACATACCATTTTAGATTATTCTGAAATCATATCAGCCAAGTGTTTGGTACTTGAATACGAGTCAAAACAATATTTTATAAATAAATTCATCAATCTTAATCTTAACTCATTTAAAATATTCCTAGTAATTAATCACTCTATTGATAAAAACATCACATCTACAATTAAAGATTATTTATAGACACTACTTTATATTGTTTTTATTGATTTTTATTACATTCATTAATGTAAATAATGTTTTGTAGGTGAGAATAATAAATTCCAAGTGAAATATTCGGATCCAAAGGTCTGCAAAAGTTTTCTTCTGGCATGCTGTCCCCATGAAATTTTGTCCTCAACGGTGAGTATAAATCATAAATTATGTTATTTGATAAACTTTATTCAAAATCAAACAATATTCATTTCTACATCGTTATTTTGTAATTTAAACTAAGGAGTTTTTCATGAAAATTGAGACAATATGTTGCACATAGATGCATTCATATTTGAAATAAAATGTCATAAAAAGACTAATCATTGAAATAATCTATTGTATAACGTTGACATTAATTGCATCACTATTAAAAAAATGCTTTGTTTCGATTTTTGCAAAATACTCATTAGTTAATATCCTTGAAGAAGTTGATAATGTTCATTGTTACGTATTATAACCTTATTTATTATTTATTAATTCAAAATAAGGATTCTTGTTCATCTTCTCATTGGTAGTTTTTATTCAATTATACCGAACAGAAAATGACGAAGAAAAAACGCGTTACTAAGCAAAATAATATAAACATAGCCAATATAATTGCCCGTAAATAATAAAATGTAGCAAAATAATGGGCATCAAATGACGGCAACTAATGATGGTATCCCGCTGCAGTTCTTATTTCCAGAGTGTCTGGAAAAACCAATTCCAATCAGAACCATTGTACAGTGTCATTGAGAATAATGTCCGTATGTCGTTCTTGCTCGAACTTGCACGCGCGTTACTGTAAGTACTCAATGCAAAAAATAAGGACGTACGTATAACATTACATATCAATATCATTGTTCTATTTAACCGTAAATTAAACCACCAGATTATGATTATAATTTATAATTATAATAATATTAAGAATGTTAGGAAGCAGATAACACGTCTCAGCCCCATTCTCTTCTATTAGAGAAGTCTAGAAAAGAACAGAAGTTAATGCACGAATGATTGAACTTGTACGCGCTATGGTAAGTAGCGTCAAGCTATTGATTCATGCGAAAATTTTTCAAATACAAATTTTAAATTATTTCAATATCAGATTTAATAATAAATTGTCGCTGTTAACAATTTATTTCTAACAATGTTCGCGAAGACTACTACTTTGATTGACTTGAGACAAATCAATTTTTTAAACTTTCTTTTTTATTATTTAATTATGTTTATAAAATCTACTGGAAACTTTAAGAGACTTTCTCTTTAACTCAAATGTACATTACTAACAATTACTTCGGTTAAAAAAAAATTTTTTTTTTTAGTTCATTTTTAATGAAAATGAGGCTATTCTATTATTGGAATAAGAACTCTAGAACAAAAATTAATATAGCAAATGTTGATATTTAGTGTAGAGAAGAATTGTTATTTTCTAACATTTATTTTTTAATATTTATTTTTCTATAAACTCATATAAAATTAATTGCATCTTTTAGAAAATAATTTTTTTTATAATTATTTACTTTCATTCATGGTTTTATTTTATTTCTTCTTCTATTAATATATTAAAACTAAAATTAATAATTACTAAAGATAAAAAATATAAATGAAAAATTGGTTGTTAATGTCAATTAAAATGTAGTATTTTCGTTTCCCTAATTCGATAAAATAGCAGAGATCTATATTACTTCGATTAATTCCGTGAGTATTAAAAACAATTCAATACAATGGTTCGCTTTCACATCACTCACCAATTGCAGACCTGTAAGTAATTCAACTTTGAAACTTTCTCATTTAATAAAGAAATGATTAAAAATGACAATAAACGGAATAAGAGATAATAATAATTATGTTTTTTCCGTGAATTTATTAATTAAATATTTGTGCATGAAACCGTGAAATAATTAAAAAGAATTAAAAATAAAAAAAGCTATACTCGGATATCATTAACTAATCTTCATTTCTTGTCTCTTTCGGAAGTTAAATAATAGAATCGATGGCAGATTCATTGAAATAAAACAATTGTTATAAGAAGAATAACACAAAAAGGAAGAAATGGCTCAAGAATTAAATTGGAGTGAGAAAAATAATCAAGGATATATTATAGGACAATGGCAAGTTCACTAAAATGTCTCATCATGGATGTACGTATTAAACAACGATTTCCTAAATTAAAATGATGAATAATCGAACAATCAATCGATTAAAATAAGTCCAAATCGTTGTTTTAATTTAAAAATTATATTCTCAGAAAATATGTCATCATATCATTCATTTAAAAATATTATTTAGGATTTATATAATAAGTTATGTCTCATTTAAAAACTTGAATATAATTGTAAAAAATATTAAGGTATGTGTGCTGATTGTAGCATCGTTACCATCGCATTCTCGCGTCAGGCGGAGGTGTTGCCATTCTGTAAGTCAAAACTAACAGATAATTGTCTATCTACCTTTATAGAATACCTAAATATCGCGTAATAACTGATATTATAAAAAATAAATTGTTTTATACAAAACAATTTAGATCTGGATATTTTTCAGACTTTGAACGAGTGAATGAATGAATGAGAAAATGAGAGTGAGAATGAAAGGGGGTTAAAAAAAAATATTAAAACATCAATTGAATTTAAAAATTTGATGATAATTTATAATAATTATCATTGTTCTTAGTCTAAATTCTAAATGTAAAAATGGGGCTTAAGGATTGTTTACCAGATGGTAAGAATAAAATTTATTTTGTATAAATTTAGCTAATAATTAAATGATTTGTCAATCGCAGCGCATGGACCTGGGAGAATGCCCCCAGATTCACGACTTAGCCCTTCGGGCTGACTATGAGGCAGCGCAGAAGAAGAAGGATCATTTTTATGATATTGATGTAAGTATTACATATTTAATATCATTATTGTATAATAAAATTCAATAATTTTTACTAATAAATAAATTAATTGTTTCAGGCTATGGAACATCTTCAAAATTTTATTGCTGACTGTGATCGTCGTACAGAACAAGCAAAGCAACGTCTTGCAGAAACGCAAGAAGAATTAAGTGCTGAAGTCGCAGCAAAAGCAAACAGCGTTCATGTTTTGGCTGAAGAAATTGGAAAAAAATTAGCAAAAGCTGAGCAACTTGGAGAGGAAGGTTTTGTTGAAGAATCAATGAAACTTATGGGAGAAATTGATGAATTAAGAAAGAAAAAGAATGAAGCTGAACAGGAATATAGAAACAGCATGCCTGCTTCAAGTTATCAACAGCAAAAATTAAGAGTTTGTGAAGTATGTAGCGCATACTTGGGAATTCATGATAATGACAGACGATTGGCTGATCACTTTGGTGGAAAACTTCATCTAGGATTCATCAAGATTCGTGAAAAACTTGCTGAACTAGAGAAAATTGTTGAAGAACGACGTAAAGAGAAACGCGAGACAATGATGGACAGAGACAGACATCGCGACAGAGATGATAGGGATCGTGATCATCGTGATTCGAGAAATGACAGAGGACGAGGACTTGGCTATCGAGATCGGGAACGCGACCGTGATCGCAGGGAGAGGAGACGATCGCGATCACGAAGTCGCAGCCGTGGAAAAAGGTATTTTTTAAATTATTTATAGAATTTTAGAATTCATAATATTTATTAAGCGTTCGTTATTTATTTATAATTGAATAAAATCACAGTAATATCAATTATTTCACTGATATATTTTTCTAGGTCCAGACGATCGCGCAGTGGCAGTCGTAATCGTAGGTCCCGTTCGCGGCGAAGTGGATCTAATGATCGCAAGAGATAAACAGTTGATAAGGACGAGGTAAGACAATGACGGTGACGTAAGTGACGATGACGGGATATCACATACAATACAGTCTTAACCCTTTAATGGACTAGACGGTTTTTAATCTTCATCGGATACCCATCCCGGTGTAAAAAATATCATTCTTTGCTGAAACATAATGTAAGCTCATAAGCTAATAATTTTCATATATAAATTTGATCTTATCAATTGAATTATATTATTTGATTAGACCTTTTGAATAAGGTATAAACTGTGCCTGTACATCACATTCATTTTCAATATTTTTTAATATTTATCATAACCATTGTTCCATGGATAATGGAGATATTGTAACATGCACCTTGGACTTATGCGGATATTACGTGAGTACATAGGCGAATAAAACTAATTAAACCTTGAATACACTGTAACAATCAATTTCATTTTAAGCTAAATATTTTATTAATTCAATGTTCAATTTATATTGATAAGAATTCAGGATATTAGTTTGTCACATGTAAATAAATGTAGTTTCATCTTTATTTTAAAACAAATAATGCGTCTTTTTTTTCTTCATATTTTTAGTGTTATTTACCAACTTTAGAGACATTATGTCAATTGTTATGTAATCTTCACAACAATTTTACAAATAAAAAATAAAATACATTCCATAAAAAGGAATATTTAACAAATTCAAAAAATTTTTTGTCATCTATTTGTCATTAAATACTAATTTCTTACTTATAATAGTTATTATTTTTTATTCTTTATGTTATTATCGTCATGATTATAATATCTATAATATTCCCTTATTTTTATCACACATTCATCATCATTTGCCTTTGAATTCTATTGTGCTTTGTCCAACATTGGTTTATTGCTGAACAAATGTCTTTGAGCTCAAATTTATTATTACGTTTTTTGCTGTTTATGTTTAAATAAATTCCTAAAATTATCAACAGACCAGACCACAAATATTGCATTGTAAAAGGTTTATAAAAAAACAAGAAGCTTATCATTATCGTAATGGCTTTTCTGCAAGTCGTTACTGTGGCAGCAATAAAGGCACCACTGTTTTGGACGAGTGTTAAAACTATTTGGATTCCTAAATATCCAGAGACGGAAAAAAGTAAGGCGTATCCATAGGTTTCCAAAATATGCTAGAAATGATAAAAAGTTAATTTTTATGTGAACCAGATGTTGAATTCAATATAATTAGAAATTAGAAATAATTACATCAGAACAAAATGCTACTCCTTTTTGTAATTCTCCTGTCACAAGGAGGATAATAAAGAGATATAAAAATCCTATGCTATAAGAATAAAGGACTACTTCAGTATTTGTAGCCTTATATTGTTTCATAGCTTTTTCCTGAAGGTTTCCTATAATAGCATCGCATATCAAGGCAGAGCTTATCATTATAACTCCGATAATGCTGAATCGTGGAGAAATCATGCTGTCAGCCAACGTAAATAGAACAAGTCCAATACACAATAAGCCTGCAGAAATAAAATCTAAAATTCCATATTGTTTCTTTTGGATTATAATTCCACCTATGAGTACTGGTATCAATTTACAACTTTTAAATATGACCTAAAATGATTAAAAAAATAATTACATCTTTATAAAATAAAATTTTTTTATTTAATAATTGATTTATTTGCCTGCGTAGGATAATTTAGGTAACCAAGAGATGAATTAGAGAAACCCATGGTGCCGAGGGTTAAAAATGCCAGAATAATATAAGTTGACCAAGGAATTCTCCGTGATATTCCCTTCAACGTACATTCTAGGTATCCAAATATAGTATAATAAGCAAATTGAATGAGAGTCAAGTACCATCCATATGGCCTAAATCCATCTAAAGTGAATATTAACTCCTGAAAAAAAAAATGAAATATTTATAGAGTCTCCTAGGCATCATTTTTCAATAGATACTCACTTGAAGATATCCATAAATTATATAAAAAAAGAATACTCCAAAAGAACACCACAAGAATCTAGCTCTATCACTAAATTTGGATAAGTCAAAACAGAGTATTTTCAGTACACCGGTCTCTTGGCTATTTTCAGGATGAAGTTTATTATAATCCATCTTTATAAATTGATTCCAGTCTGATGATTGACTATTAACTGCGTATTTATTACCAATGTACAGACATTGAATTCATTTTCAAATTCTTCAGATCTTGTTATTCCTAAGAACAATAGTAATTTTAAAAAAATGTTATTAAGATTATAGTAGTTTTTAAACACTTAAATACACCTCGATTGATTATTTATGGTTATTTTATCATTGATACTAAAAATTATTCAAGCTTATTTCGATGAAGAATATTTTTGTTGATTTTAGATAGTATTGCTATGTGAAGTATTACATGAATTATTGGGCTATGTCTTCATTTGTTAGGTTTAATAATTAAAAAAGATAGACTCCAAACTATTTCCCAATCATTTGTTGACAATTTTTATTCCATGATTTCCAACAATTTACTGAAGCGTCCTCTCAGCATATACTGTGAACTAATAATTGAAGTAGGATGTAATAATACAAATAATAATTTTTGACAACGTGTCGAAACAATATTGTATATCGTTCAGTTTTTGTATAATCAGAATTGTAAATAGTAATTTTTTATCTATGTTATTTAATATCTTCACTAATTAAATTATTTTTTATTAACTTATTGTGATTCAAAACTTTTAACCTACACGTGTCAACTTTATGTATTCAATATTTTGTAAATAAATTATTATGAATAGCAATGCAGATTCTTTTTAAATAATATAGAATATTTGATATTCAGCAATAACTTTGAAGACTTGTGATCGTATTTTAATGATTATTTTTAATCTTCTTAACTATGTTGAGAAAAAGGAATGTCAATCTCAAGACTGTCAAGGAACTTGACGCTTTTCCAAAAGTTCCAGAGACTTATATAAATAAATCTGCAGTTGGAGGCACCTGTAAGTTATAACTCATCTTTTAACGATGTTTTGTTTGTAACTAACATTATTTAAGTAATATCTTTCATCACTTCATCATCTATTAATATATTGAATCAATGTTTATTTATTTATTTTACAGGTTCCTTCATCACATTTTGTATTATTATTGTGCTTGTGATATCGGAAATTCGATACTTCCTAAATCCTCGTTTATTTTTCAAATTCGAACCTGATACTGAAATTGATGCAAAATTAAGAATAAATGTAGATATTACAGTAGCTATGCCATGCAGTCTAATTGGAGCTGACATTTTAGACTCCACAAATCAAAATTTATTAGGCTTCGAACCTCTTCAAGAAGAAGAAACCTGGTGGGAATTATCCATGGAGCAAAGAGCACACTTTGATGCCTTGAAACACGTGAATTCGTACCTGAGAGAAGAATACCATGCTATTCATGAAGTTCTCTGGAAGTCTAATCGAGCTACATTTATAGGTGAAATGCCTAAAAGGTATTTTTATATATTGGAGAATTACAAAATATATATACCAATGTTCTATCATATTGTAAACTTTATTTCTATTCCAGATCATTAGAACCACTTTATCGTCCAGATGCCTGCCGATTATATGGTAGTATAAATCTAAATAAAGTCGCCGGAAACTTCCACATAACTGCCGGAAAATCATTATCGCTTCCTCGCGGCCATGTACATATTTTTGCATTCATGACGAGCCAAGATTATAACTTTACTCATAGAATAAATAAATTTTCATTTGGGGAAGAAAGTCCTGGAGTAGTTCAGCCTTTAGAAGGCGATGAGAAAATTACAGAAGACAGTAAGCTACCTAATTATGTAATAAGGATCAGTATAATTAATAAAGATTTTTTCTATTTAGATATGATGCTCTACCAGTATTTCATTGAAGTTGTTCCAACTGATATTTACACATTAATGAAAACTACGAAAACTTACCAATATAGTGTAAAAGACTATGAGAGACCAATTGATCATCAAAAAGGGTCCCATGGTGTACCAGGGATTTTCTTTAAATATGACACAAGTGCTCTTAAAGTAAAAGTAATAGAGAATCGTGAATCTTTGATTCAATTTCTAGTTAAGCTTTGTGCAACTGTTGGTGGGATTTACGTTACAAGTGGATTAATTAATAGTATTATACAAGGACTTTGGTACGTCATTTCTTGCAAATTTTTTAGGCAACCTGAAGTTAAAGATAAACGCAGATTGGCTGAGACAAATCATTCTATTATAAAAACATCAATTACTCCAGTGAATTTAATTGATGTTGCAACTCGAGCAACAATAGATGTTACTTTGAAGCCTCAATAAAATATTTTTTGTTGAATTTTTTTTTTATTATTAATTAATTTTCTAATGTTAAAAACTTCAAGGAATCAGCTTAACACACTTAATAGAACTGAAATTATTAATAGGTCATTTTTATTGATAAAAGTACGCATTTTATAATTATTTTTTATACATTAAAATTTTTTTAAAGGCAACAGTGACGCCTGTACATAGACGATAAGTCAACGAGCTGGTTAAAAAATAAGACAGAATGCAATATTTAAGCGTAAAATTCAATATAATATTTTTTTCATTTATGACAATTAATTTAGTTTTATTTTATACATATAATAAGTACCTTAAAGTTACAATTCAACTTAAATTTCTTATTTTTAAAATTCTTTCTTTTCCAGTGCGATTCCACTTATATAATTTTAAAAATCACTTGAGTTTCATTGCTAAATACTTTTAAAATAATTTCATTACTATAATGATATTTATTAATAAATTTCGAACACGAAAACACATTAAATAATAGTAAATAGAAATTATTTTATCTTAAAAAATGATGGAAGGATGGAAATAAGATCTATCAATTGCACCGTCTTATTTTTCACGCTCTTTCCATCAATTGTTATTCAATCAATAATTCTGTACAACGCCTCTCTCTCCTGCAACGTTTATAGATCCTAATATTAAAATATTAATTATGAACAAACCATGATTATTCATTTCACACATTCATACACACAAATACACAATAAACATTCACTCAAGTTTTATACAAAGTAATGGTGCGAAAGTTAGACGTTATACTGAACAAAAAATAACCACTGACCTTCGTCTATTTAATGTTATATATACTTGTACATAGAACTTTTAAAGATAATAGATATATATTTTTGTCTATAAATCGTGAGGGTACAGGTTTCAAAAACTGCATGATAATTCATTAAAAAACAAAATTTCGTGCCGTTACAGCGGGTTTTATAATTTATAAAAAAAAAAGTTATTAAAAAAAATCGAAACCCGTAAACAATGGCACAAGCGTTATTTAATAGTTTAACACCGATTTGATTTTTTTCTTAAGCATACAAAAATAAATTATAGTAATAACGATCGTGTATCTCTTGACTTATTCATGTACAACGAATACTATGTTATACAAGTAATATATAAATATATATTTAATTATATGTATCTTCTTAAACTAATTGCTTAAGATAAATTAAAAAAATGCTTTTTCATACTCTCTAGCACTTGATGGCACCTAAGGAGAGGCAGTTTTTAATATCTTTCGAAGTAATCTTTTTTTTTTAGTAAATTCATTTTTAACACGGTGATTTCATTGAATTGTTTTGTAATTTTGTCATACACTGAATCAAAATTTCTTTGAAAATTAAATAATGACGTGTTCTAGCAATAAAAATAATTCTTATTTGCAAGAATTATGATAAATGATTAAATTTATACACATCACGACGTCATGGAAACTATAAAAAATTTTTTATAAAATAAATTATGAGAATCAAACATGTGTATAAAAAGTTATAAAATAAAACTTGATGTATATAATATAATACATCAAATTAATCATTACTGAACTCTCAAATTTCAAGAACATTTTGACAGTGTAAATAATATTTTTCCCTAAAAATATCACAAGAGATCTTGATTGTTATAATTGTAAATTCGAGGCACAGATTTTATAATTTCCATTTCGGAAGACGGAGGTGAAAGGCGAAGACATAATATAAAGGCTTCTATGGCTTGTCAACAATGTAAGTAATGTTGAAAAGGCACTCCCCTAGGCAATTTTCGTTCTTATTTCCACCATGAAATTTGCTGGTGTACGCTTTGGCTGCAGCGAATTATCTAAAGAAATATAAACGTATAATTTAATGTCGTATTGAATAATTGGATATGAATATTTATCAATAGATTTGTTAAGATTCGATCATACCTTACCTATGTAGTATGAAGTAGTAAATTAATTAAACATTCATAGTAATATATGACAAGACTAGGAGTACTGCTGTAAGTGCTGCAAACGATCGTGTCGTCGTTGCATCCGATTTTCCTTTCACTGAAATTATTATCACTCTAATATTAATAACTAATACTAACTTATTAAATTCTTTCAATGACTTTTGATTATATTTAATCATAATTTTCTTGATTTAACTTAGCAAATTGATAATTAATGATTTTTTTTTTACCATTTTGTGGTTCGTCGGATGCATATTCTTTGCTAAACGTGTGAATTTTAGCATTTGGTGACCATCCGAAGTCATTTTTAGCCACCAACGTCGCTTCATACGATACGCTTGGCTGAAGACCTTTTATAGCATGTTCAACCACAAATTCATTTCCGCTTCCATCTTGTACACTTGGACTTAATACCTTCCACTCTTTATCACCTTTTTCACGATATTCCAGCTGAAAAGAAAATTACCATATTTTTCAGTACTTTATTACAACCATCATAAAAAATTGTTCATTTATTATATTGATACTTGAACATGGAAAATTGGTGAATGCCATTTCTAAAACATATATAATTGAATTATTAGAAATAACAGGTTTTGTAAACTATACTTATTTAGAATAACATGTAATTATTGCGTAATAGAGTTTTACTCTATTTATGACCACCACTATAATTTTGCTTTTACAAATGCTTTGTAATAGAAATAGAGAAAACTGTCTAAGTTTAATGGAGATATTGAAGTAAATATAATGAAGCATTGAATGTCATTAAATATCAATGGTTGAAAATAATTCTCTAGGAAAGAGAAAAATGCAATGTTATTTAATTATATACACACAGCAAAATTTAATTACATATTAAAGTGCTAAGTAAGAGAAAAGAGAAATTTAATACTGAGTCCCTGAATGAGTGAGAATATTTGCTGATCTAAAAGATATACCTAGAGTATGCAAGTCAATCAATGAAATATCAAAGGATTTACTTGAATAAGATATTGAAATAACGATCAAACATTTTTAAAATTATTGAATGAAAATCATTGCGACAAACATGATAAAAATAGAAGAAGAATCATGAACATGCGTTATTTGTAACACATCAACTTGACTGTTTTACTGTTCATGAATCGATTCTTATCTACAATAATAATATTTTTTCAATGCTCCATAGATATCATCAGCGAATTTTGTATAATGATAATTGTTCGAATTATAGCATTGATATTTTATTATGAATTATTACAATTTATATTAGATTTGAAATAATATTTGTGCTTTATAAGAGTGAAAAATACACTTGAGTATATAACTAAATATAAAATAATCATGTAGAATGCATTGAAGCATAGATAACTATGAGAAATGGAGCAATCATAAATTCTAATAGAAATATTAATTACGATTGATCTACGAGTAATTTTGAAATATTGTATCATTAATATGAAATTAAAAATTTATCATTTTCCCTTCATAACTTTATCACAAATACATTATTTCAGAATAATTATTTACAACATTGATAATTATTACAAGATAGTATTATGACACATCAGGATATAAGGATTCAATTACATTTCGTGCAAAATGCTGAGATAATGGATGATTTTTATAACTTTTTTATTAACATTATTATTTCTGACATTAATAACAACCTTCATTCTTTATTTTTCCGGTTAGATCAGAAAATATTTATATGTCTATGCAAGTAATTATGTCGATAAGAGAGGTAATATCATAATAAAAACTATCTGTTATTATTTAGATTATAAAAATCCCCTCTATAAAATTATATAAAATAGCGATGAGAAAATATATATAGGAAGACAACGAAGATTTTTCATCAGTTTGTTTTTTTGTGCAACTATAAACATTCATCATGAATTCTGCAGTTCTATTATTTGTCACCTGTGTAGCTTCGGCTACAGTAAGTTATTTATATGATTAAGTCACCTAAATTCTTGTTTTTTTTTTGTTTCAACGAAGCACATTAAATATCTAAGAGATTGTTTATAAATTTAAACAATTATAGAATTGTTGAAATCAAACAAAGAATTTTAAAAGAAACTTCTAATAATAATTGAGAAGCTTAATAGAGAACATTTTATGCACAGATATTTGTTAATGCCTATGATTCCTTTGAAGACAATCTTGAACAATGGACAGCCCAATGTATTTCAGAAACTGGTGCTAATTATGAGATAATAGAAGCTGAACGAAATGGTGCGGATATTAATGATGAAAGAGTAAAGTGCTTCCATGCATGCATGGCTATAAAAATGGGAGTGGTGAGTTTATATGATTTTTTTAACTCCAAAAATACTTATTAACTTGCTGAATCTGTTTTTACACAGATGTCTTATGATGGTACAGTAGATAAAGAAAAAATCATCAACTTTATTCCACATTATGTTTCTGACGAACAAAGGATGGAGATCATGAGACAACGTGCTTCATGTGTAAATATGGGTAAGTATTTCACTTAGAGGAGTATGCATAATTCTTTTTGATAATGACATTTCTTTTATTCAGTTGGTCCAAACCCATGCGGTACTGCTGACCTTATCTTTAGATGCATTCGCCCAGCAACAGCACGCTATACTTCACCACAAGAACATGGAAAGAACGTTTACTATTTCTTTAGCGTGAAAAGAACATGATTTATTATGTATCATAAAAAAGATTGTTAAAAGCAACTTATTAAAACTCTAAAAGCATTGAAAGTCTACCTATAAAGATGATGTAAAATTTAAAAGTGCAAAAAAAATGGCAACACTTATTTTCATTTTTGTTACAAGGTCATAGTGATGTTGTCATTATAGAATATTAATAAATAAAAATAAATACATCATTTCATACTTACTTTGTACTCAACGATGGGCGAGAAACTCTTGACTTTCCACTTCAAAATCATTGTTGTTTCATCATCAGCGATTTCTCCACCAATAAATTCTGGTTTTGCTGGTGTACCTTCGACCAATATTTCTTTATACGCTTCACCCAAAGGATTTTTTGCTATACATTTGTACTTTCCAAAATCGTGTTTATTAGTATGATAAATCGTTAGAACTCGATGATTTTTATCGTCTGTCATATATTTTTTTTCTTTTTTCAATGAAATTGGCTTGTCATTCTTTGTCCAGCTTACTCTAGCATGAGGATGAGCATGAACCCTGCAGACTAATTCCGTTTCTACAGCAATACCAGTATGAATAACGTCATGGTCGACTTCTATTACTGGCGCAACTGTAACATAATTAAAATTAGTAGCCGTTTAATAAAACTTATCAATGAAAAACGTTGTTTTGAATAAATAAACTTACAGTTAACCAACACTTCAATAGATTGAGATGGTGGGGTTTCCGATTTATCTTCAGCAAGGCATTGATAGTGTCCTGAATGATGTCTTGTTACTTTTCTCAATGTAACACTATTTTCATTAACTTCAATTCCATGACTATTGTTCAACCTCGTGCCCTGTAAATATTTAAATAAAATCAAAATTAGAACCAAATATCCTTCACACAATTTATAAAAATAATACAAGGAAAATTTACTTTGTGAAACCATTTGATTTCTGATGGAGGTACAAGTGTAGATGTGCAACGTAGTGTTATAGTTCCATTTTCATCAATCTCCACTTTTCTTGCTGGATATACGGTGATTGTATCATCCTTAGAGAGTGGAGATTCAGCTCGTGTTACGTGTAGAGAATGAACTAGCTTAATAGGTGGATTGCTCACTATTTGGCATGTATAATTTGATGAAGAATCTTCTCTCGTAACATTATGAATAATAAGGCTATGATTTGCTGCTACAGTTATTCTTTTTTTATCGTTAATTATAAGAGCATCGCCAAAAGATAAAGTAATGTTGTCTTTGTACCAGCTTATTGTAAAGTCCTCTGCAAAAGAAATTTATTCAATTCTTAAAAATACTTTCAACTGAAATGCTTCTACTTTCGAAAAATTTTTTTTTTCTTTTAGAAATAAAAGTAACTGTTTTTTTTCACTTTTGTTATAAATCTTCTTTTCATTGCACATTTTTCAATAAAAGAAATCGAAGCATTTCGTCAAGACCTGACTCAGCATAACTTAATATCCTTTTCTCTCAAAGTTAACAAAAGAATCGAACCTGCATTAACAACATCGCAAGGCAGTTCTACGGTCTCGCCTTGATTCGTTCGTAATGTTAAAGGTTTAGTCCTTATTTCCGGTGGTTCTGCGGGTGTTCCATTGCTGTCATCTTCTTCAGGTTCTTCATCATAATCTGGAGACGGAGGATCGTCATCAGCATACAGGTCATCTTTGCTTTCAAATTGATCTGAACTGCAGTAAACTGAAAAAGAACAAAAAAAAGAGACTTTATATAATTATATTAATTTAAAAAATAATTATAATTATTTATTTATTCTCAGAATAAATTTATATCTGAAGGAAGTTAAATTATTGACTGACGTAAATGTATTGTTTCAGCTATCACAAAAGCTTTTGTTTTTTGTTGAAATGAAGGGTGAGACATCTGGAAAATCTACATGCGAAGCATGCTACGTTAACCCGTTACGTTAACAGGTAAATCATCGTGCCATCATATAAGACATGACATACTTCTACACTTTTAAAGTAGATCTCACGAACATACTGATGGCCACCACGCCCTTGTTAGAATAAATAGGTCAAGCAAACACTTGTCATTTCAGTCTATCCTGATCAATTTAATCAACCTCAACTGATGCACTCATTTTTCTTGTATCCCCACAATTACATTTTTCTTGTCGACAACTTGAAAAAAGTAGGGAACCAGCAATGTTTACTTTTATTTTGAATAAGAATAAAAAGAAATGAAAGTGAACAGTCTCCCGATGTTTACTAATAATTCATGTAAGTGGGATTACGTTTATTTGATCTAGACTTTGTTAAGAATTGTGATCTTTGATGTTTCAATCTGGACTATTAGGGCTGAAGTAGAATGATGATATAGTCATTTATCTTAAAATAGAAAAAATATTCAAACTCTAAATGAGTGATTTAAAACGTGTTTTAAGTTAATGAGTGGGTTTCAATCATAGAATAATAAACCATTTTCAACAGAAATATTTTTTCTACTTCATTGAATATTTTAAAACTTAAAACATTCAATGTAAATTTTTCTTCACGTGATTGATGAAAATTTAATCACATATAATTAATGATAATGATAATTGAAAATTATAGGATACATTCTCTAACACCATTGAAAAAAATTCAATAATAAATAGCCTGGAAACCTGCAAATCATCCTCCCTATCTGCTCTATAATCACGTCAAAAATATGATTATATTACTAGAGAATCTGGGTTAATGTTTAATCACCCTGCATGCCGATGCTGATATTCTCCTAGAATTCTCCCCCGGCTACTAGGGAGGGAAAAGAGCTTAGCAACGACCTGGGCCACATGGAATGATATCATGTGATGTCACAGGCGCCACGATGCCTCATTGCCTACCAATGTCTATCGTTTCCAGCTTCCTACGCTCCATGTACCAGACCTTTCCTCTTGTGATTTCATACCAAGTATACAGTTTCTTTGCGTTACCCTCTCAGACAACACATTAATAAATTGCTTCTCACTCCTCACTTCGCTCATCCTGATTCAAGACAAAAATTCAGACACTTTTCAAAGTAAATAGTCCATTACTTTTATTGATGATTGTTTGGTTTATGAATCAACTAATTGTTCTCTGCAATCTGCAAGACCATTTGGTGTATTCAGTGTTAAAGGAGACTAAAATGGAACACCAATAAATATGGTTGAAGGTGTGGTCATTGATTCTAGAGTTTGTACTCTGCAATATTGTCATGTAGGTTCAAGTTATTTCAATAAAGTATACTTTTTTATGCTAATATTTTCATAAATTAAATAAATTACTTGGGCACAAATAATATCATTATGAATGGCTGTTGAATATTATTCATGTTAAATAATTCATTAAATGAAATTCAAGCGTTTCGTCATCTTATGAATATAAAGTTTTTTTATTGTTGGTGATGCTTCTAGCTTTTTCAAGAAAAAATAATAAATAATTGTACATGTTGATGTTGTTTCAGTGAAGTAATAGTTTTTATTTTAAAATAGATTCAGTTTTTAGTTCAGTGTACAAATTCTGTTATATTTTAATAGCTTTCTCGCTAGTATATTCATAAATCAAGCACGATCATAAATTGATTACTCAAAGAAATTGGCGGATGGATCGCTCACAGTTATCGTTGCTTACATCCGTGGCGCACCCTCGATTACTATACACTACAGTTCTAGACTCAGTCAATCGTGTTCATCTGCAAATAATGTTATTTGCTAGCCTTCAGTCTAGAAGACAAATATATCTTTCTTATTATCACTTTAATTCAGCATCGTTTAGTGAATTTATGTCATTGTACATCAATTATTTTGCCGACATTAACCATTATTCTTTCGCAATCTCAGTAATAATAATCTGATTTTTTTTTTAGACTCCAATTCCCTGAGAGATTTTTTTGAATGCATAAAAACTTGATTTTCTTAATGGAGTATATTTTACAAATGTTTATTTACCCAAGAAAAAGTGAAAGTAAAAAGCTTTTATTTTTATGGATGATTTATTTACTGTTAATAAATTCGTGTTGAAAGAATTTCATTCATAATTATTATATAAATGTAAACATAATTATCTGCTTAACCAGGCATCACAATCGATGTGTAACTATTCATTTATAAGTTTAACACCTCTTAATAAAGCTGAATCGATTGTCTTTAATGTCACTTGGAAATCATATTTAATTTACATTAAAAAGTCTCGAAATGATTAAAGCTAATAAAAATTATACGTAGCTAACTTTTTATTCAAATTCAATGGCAGCAATAAAACAACTTATTATTAATCAATTATCCAAAGAATTTGTATTAGACTTCTTTGTTCTTCATTATTAAAAAAGTGTAGTTGAAAGTCTAGTAGAAAAAACTGGAATTGTTTATTGCCGGAAGCAGAGGATGGTGGTTGGCGATGTCAAGAAATACTTTGAAGAGCGAAATTTGTGTCAAATTTTTGTCATGCAGTCACGCAAATGGAAAGAATTCGGTGGTATTAATGCAGTTGGTAAAGCCTCAATGTTGGAATGGTCGAAATAACGGGGTCGTGTAACTTGCTAACCGTAAATCTATTTTGAATTTGGTACACGCTTTACTTCGCCGGGCGGCCATGATGTCATCCAAGTGGTTTAGCTTGCGCTTTGCATGACGACATCGCCAAAAAAAGTCCTCTCGGTCAGGATCATGTGTCCATGCGTAATTTCCACGTCATTGTTATGTTCCTGTAAATTATTGCGGCCTTTGCTAACTTGGTAAGATAGTCACGTATATGTCCAAAATTAGTGTGGTAGCATTCGCGGTTTTGGAATATACGGGCACGTGATAATATGCTAAGAAGAATGATATTACTTAATATTGTGATGTCAACTCTAACTGGTTTTTCCAGGATACTCCGAGTCACCAAGGAATAAATATCATATCGACAATAATAGCCATCATGATTCATTCCTTTAATTATCGTATAATACAATCACTTGATGCTTAATCAATTCAGTTATTAAACTCAATGAATAACTCCCTTGGCATCTTAAAAAACAGCTTGGACATGTTCTGAATATCTTGATAGAACTGGGTATCACATCAACAAGTCAATTATCAACCTAGTCAATCCAACTCAGGATAAATGATCTCTCAGCATCGTCAATCTTTCCCTTTTCAACGTCACTCCAGCTTCCCTAAATGCTTCATAATCCCAAGAGCTTACAGATGAACTATTTTTAACAATTATGAGTCTTTAGATTCAATTAAGTCATACAAAAGTGGGCAGCTTTTTTATTTAATAGAAAAGTATTTCTTCAAATCATTCCTCTTCAGTTAGAGAATTACTTAAGAAATATTCAGATAATTTATTTAGATAATAAAAAAAGAATAATTATATGATAATATATTTTTCTAGGCCACATCAGAATGATTTCAGCAGACTAATTTGGCAGATCTGTATGATCATTTAAAAAAAGTTGAGTGACTAAATCTGTTATTTTTAGCAAAAAAATTACTGCTATGACATAATTTGTATAGTGATTGCTAATTCAAACATTTTAGTTCTTTAAATAAACATTACTCAATAGATGTCCACACGTTAATAAGCAAATTCAAAAAAGATGAACAATTTAAAATAGTGGTTATTAAATGAGTCAATCTGAAAAAGGACGATGAAGTTAATGTTCATTTCTTCAAATTTCTTCACTCTCCCTGAGTGCTCAGCATAATAAAAAGGGCCCACAACTTGACGATATAGCAAATACAAAACGAATGACGTCATGTTCCAGCATTCTCTCACGCTAATGGTTATTATTGTGCTGTTGCTCACACTCCCATTCCATACTCAAGAAGTGCCATACAGTCTCAATGTGTTTGCATACGTTGGCGTGGACAAAATAAAAAGCGTACGCTTACTCGTTTCAATCTAATGAGCATGAGAGGTCAAGCTGAATGCCATTGACCCAATATAAGATTCTGCTGAATTAAGAAAAAGTTGGTAAGTTTGTCTTAATTTTGTACCAGTTATAATGATGCTTTTGATTTGCTCTGAGCATGTTGAGTTAGAAATAAACAAAGAAGAGGGAGAGAAAATGGTAGACATGGAAGTTGGATCTTGGCCAAGTGGCAGAAACATCATAGACATCAAGACACAGGTGCTGTTCCAGCCATCATTTTCCCCTTTAACTTGATAGTAAATGTACGTGTACATGTTGGTACTTGGAAGCGTTGGATTTATCGTTGATGATGATGATTCTTTACGACATTTCTAGCCAATAGAATTAGAACCGGCTTTGTTGGTTGGGTCAGTATGATAGCTACAGGTTTTCAAGTAAGACAAGCTAAACTAGAGAGCTAGATCAGAGAACAATGACCCGGGTTCATCCTGCAAACTCGTCACGCGTCCATTTAACCCTGCACACGTCTTGGCTACACCATGGCTCTGATACTTTCCCTTCTTTGGACACCAAGCTTTGTGGAAGGGGAAAGCAAGGGGGGGTTCAGCCCCCTTTGAGAAAGATAAATATCTAGATTGTCGGCATTCCTTGCTAGCTGTTAATTTACACGAATCATCCACCACATTTGGCCTAAAAGTATTATGAGCTGATTATTGTTGTTCTCCAACATCATGGCAACGTGCCTGTAGAATTCTCTATCTCCTCTTGATCGAGATTACACTCAATACTTTTGTGATAATGCTGCTATATACTTCTTTCTTGATGGTTTTTTTATTTATCCACATGATGGTCCAGTG